TGTCTAGAACACATTGACTTATGCGCTGTTCACAGCTGAAGCACAGCCTGAGCATTCTAGAACGGCCTCACCTACGTCACTGAGGCCGCATAGACCTGTACGCCTTGGGCGGTACCAGGCACTGGGGACTTTGGGAATGCGGTTGTCAGTGTCAGTCGAGACTCGAAAGCCTTGTGCATCTCTCAGAATGCAATCTCCACGTGGGGGACAATGCTGAATTGTTGGAAAACCCATATATCAGACGAAACCTAAGAGCCAGATTGCCCAGGCATATCCTGGTCAGGTTACAGTTGTCGTGTTGTCTATCAGTCTCGTGCCCAGTGCTGCCCCTCGCGTTTTAGATGCTAAAGTCAGATTTTCAAGGGTCCGCCTTGCTGCGATGAAGCTAGTCCGGGCCAGGTGAGGCGGCGTTCTCGTGGCACCAGCCCTCAGGGCTTTTGGGTGCTTGGCTAACTAACGTTAGAAGCTGGGAAATCGGACGCCATCTTCTTGGGACCAACTAGCGGTAAGGGGATAAACTTCTTTTCGCCTCGAGAAGTTCCACTTTGTGCATTTTCCCCTACTGTAACTGTCGAAACTCGATCATGCTCTTTCTCTGGGAAAAGGTAAGACAAAGCAAGACAGGTCAGACTAGCAGCTCAAGCTCCGAGTCTCGGGATGAAGAATGAGGCTAGGCCAGGGTATCGGAATTGCTGCTGATGCTACTGCTGCTTTGCTGTAACATACATACAGTATCGAGAAGAAAGCCCTTGGGATTAGCAAGCGCCGCTGATCGAAGAGGATGAGCTGCTGTACTCGCGTGCAACCTAGTCGAGTTCTTGATTTGGTAATCCATCCATCTAGGGGGGATGATCTCAGGGTCCAGGCCCTTCGAAGTGGATGGGACGGACGTGACGGTGAGAAGATGTCTGAGGTTCCCATCACAAAGGGTGTGCCCTTAGTGCCGATTCAGGGTCCTCAAACGGCAACCGTAACTAACTGTGGTGGGACCGGCGGACGATGTGGTTAAACGGCAACCATGTTTAGACAAGGCTGGAATGGAAAACCCAAGGACTGCCAGATTGACTCGGAATTGGGGACGCGGCTTGCTAAGCTTCGGCCGTTGAATATCGTCGTGACTCGGACATAGACGACAGGGGCCACGGGCATAGCGTGAGCTTGGTCGCATCAGGCCACGATCATAGATCCTCGCATAAGAGTTCCCTTGCTAATAAATCGAAAATGGACATGGGCATTATGCTTCACTTACGATTAGCAATCGCCAAGTCAGCCCTGTCTCAAGCGCTGTCTAAGCGGAGGTCCTTGAGCTCATCTCAGAAGCCGATGGCTGGGGTTTACGGCATAAGCCATCCAGCCTTGAAACAAAACCATTACACAGATCAGAGCGCTAGACTAGGGATTCTGTAGACTAGCGAAGCGGAGCGGAGGAGCGGCCGTTTTCTGACAGTAACGGGAGGAGGGTTGGTTCGGTTCCGATTCAGCTTTCCGATGGCTTCTCAGCTGAAACTCCGTTCAGTGACTGCAGTCAAAACTGTAGATTGTATAGAGCACTGTAACGGAGATGCTGTACCGAACCCATCACAAGCTACGTCATGCCGCAGAAATAGTTTCGTGCGAGATTACCAGCCTGTTCGAGACTCGGATACAGAGAGGAAACGTCGAGGCTGAGCCATTAATCTATGGATAAATGTTGTGCTGCCTTGGAGGAAACACGAAGTATGGTTTGTACACGCGGTCTTTTCCCCAACACGACCGTTCTAGACTCTGGGCGATCATTGTTTTTGGGCAGAGGTTGGCAGAATGGGATAGGCATTTGAATAAAAAGGCGGAGAATCTGAATGGGAGAAAAAAAGATGCCAGCTTTTTTAGCTTACATGGATGCGGACCAGTGACGTTGACGACGGCGCCACGCGGGTTTCTGATTGGATGAAGTGACAGAGGAGAAACACAAAACAGCTGCACACTCCCTGAAGCGTTCCATATTTTTCAGGTGGGGACCCTTGACGCTGCCATGACGATATAGTCAGGGGGAGGAGAGACACTGAAGCGACAGAGGAGAGGGGAAAGTCTAATAGCGAACATCAGCGGGGGAGATGATCTTGATAGACAAAGACAAGGGATAGGGAAAAAAGATGATGGCATTTCGGAGATTCAACTGAACTCTGTTGAAATGTTCCTCGCTAAGATACGAGGAGGGGCTATGGTTATGGGGAATGCGTGACATTGAGCAAGGCTGGAGAGTAGATATTCTTGTCAAGCTTCAATAATACCTCTGCTATATCTGATATTGGGGCTTTTCCGATATCCAGGTACCTTGCATACTTGACAGTTTAGATAGTGTAATAGAGTTGAATAATAGCTTCGGTTAGAACCATTAGCTATCCTGTCTATTCAGATCAACCAGAATTCTCCTTCTTTCCTATTCACATAAAGTAGCAGAAAAGCTGTCCTTTAAGGCTTAGGCTACAGAAATAAAGGAGCCTAAGTAATAGCCTAAGGTAGCATAAGGTGACTAAATTATTTCGTCTCTTGTGCTCCCTGGGGCCAATTCTTCCGACAACCTACCTGAGGACTCCATACAAGTCCCCTTCCACCGCCCGACCAGCAGTGAATAATGATAGACAATCTTCGCATCTCAACGAGCTAGGACAATGGTGTGCGAATGCGAACATAATACTGTAGTGATCTCCAAGGGGTCCTGCACATCTGCGCGGCTGACTTTAGTGAGTGGTATCGTCGCGAGTCCTACACACACTCACAAGACATAACTCCGGACCGGTGCTACCTTTGCAGTGACAAGCGTCCATTCGCTTGGATGATCTTTACTACACGCGACCACACCAAACTCCAACGACCGTTTTCACCTGCGAGCTGCTTCTGCAGCATTGTCTCTTTGTCTTTTGTCTGTCACCCACCACCTTTCATGCTCAAAACATGCCACTATGAGATAGTCGGTTGAACAGTCATAACTAACACGAGAAGAAAAGGGGAGATGCTGTGTTGTAATGGGTACTTTGATGTGACAGGCGCAACTATGATCGACGTCACTATCGTGACGAGCGAGTTCCTAAAAAGCTTAGATTGTGGTTGATACTACGGTACAGTTCAACAGTCAACAGCACATCACAGCACAGCACACTCTCTGACTCTGTCTTTTGTCTTTTTTGTATGTTGGTTATGCTTTTCTTTAGGGTTATCTAGAGAAGCAAAAGTAGCGAGAGGTCCCTTCTTGCTTGCAGAAATCCTTGCCAATCTCGTGATAGCTTCCATTAACCGGTATAATCGAACGATTTGGCCAACCTCCAAGCATTGGGTTTCCCAGTTTTAAAGATCAAGTGTAGGCCCAGGCATGGGATAGGGATTCAACTGATTAATGGTCTGCAGCAGATGGGATCGCCTGTCCTCTCGTCTCCCCACACGAACGACGCTGGTCCACTTGCCTGCCCATGCTGTACTGAGTGTACCATGCTGACGCAGTCTTGGCTTTGAGAGAGACGTAGCACGAGGACAAGCAATACGGTAGATGACAGTTTTGAATTCCATTTTACCATGTATATTATTTGTTTGACAGCTGTCATAGAATCTCTCGGTTTCGGTGTTTGTGTTTTGAGGCTGATGACAAACTCAACTGGGTGCGGACTTATTCAACGCCACTGATGACTTTCTTTTTTGACAGTTGCTTTGCTAATCGCTGTCATGCTTCTTCTAGAAGGAAAGCCAGCACTGAAGTGAATACTAATCATTTTGTCCAAAAAGGCAAGAAGTAAAAGAATAAAATTTTACTCTTCTCCATCTGTTAATCCTACCTGCTAGATTTGGTCTGATTGACATGACATTTATCTTTGTTTGTCGCTTCTCCTCTCATCAACTCATTGGATCTTTCTTTTCTTCTCCCGTCCCATCTCCACCCCACGTCATCAATCGTCCGTCAGACGCCACCGTCGCCATCCCACTGGATCCGTAACGGCGTTATTTTGACCTGCGACCCCCATTCATTGTGATTTCTTGCCACCGTTTGTCACCATTTACAGTATCTCGACTGTGATATTGTTGCAGTACAGATGATACAATCTGCAAGAGTCTACTTTTGTTGAGTAGAATCATCATCTTTTCTCAACACCATCTATATATGCAGTTACTATATCGCACCCTTCAGACTGGGCTCGGGTCAATTCCCTCCGTTAAATACTGAGGTCAAAGCACGTCAGGACCCCTTCATCGAATTCGGCTACCGTCTCGTCACGATACTGCATCACCCCCTGGTCCCGGACCTGACCCCTACATCAACCGCCCATGTAAACGCCCCCTCTCCTCATACTGTACCCCCCCTTCTCTTGGCTTGTTTCCAAGTCTCTTTTCCAGGGATTCCCAAGAACCAGAACCAGAACCAAAAAAAAAGAAAGACCCCACCATCTATCTATTCTGCCTCTACCTCTGCCCGCTTCTTGACCCTGTGCTGGTGCGAGCTACAGTGGCACTGCATTTCCTTAATCTACCTACCAGCCGCACCCTCCTTGGTTCTAGGTTTCTCGCCCTCCAAGACCCTGACCATACCTTTCTATACATACATACCATACATACCCTTTTACTTTTTAGCTGAAGCTTGACTCTAGAAGTTAAGTTATTGCTTCAAATAACCGTCAACTCCCACAATCAAAACTCTCTTAAAACTAATTTTCAGTCTGTTCACCATGGCCTTATGAGCCTCGTTCAGCCTCTCCTGCCCCCCTGCGTCCTCAGAGATGACGTCGACTACCCCGATCACCGCCTTCGCTATGCATGATACTAGACCAGGCGACCGAACGCCCTTACACTATACAATGAAGACTCCTGCACAATATTCCCCTGTCGGGCAGTCTCATTCTAATTCTATTTCCCACTCTCGCTCGAATTCATACAACCTCAATCACTCACACTCCCATTCTCATTCTCATTCTCACTCTCAGTCGCTTCGGCCTACTAAACAGCCAAAAACCTCGACTCCTCTCGCCTCTCCACGAATGCCATACTCGGTCGGCCAAAATCATCCGCCACCCAAATTATCGCCTCGTGTCGTCTCCGATAATCGATCACCAAGCCCTAATTATTTTGGTCTCATTGTCGAGTCGGCCAATGAGCAGGGGGGCTCCTCCTCAGGGCTCCCTAATGACAACTGGAGCCCATCGTCATCAGTAAAATCTTTCCAGGCCGCCATCCCCAAGCAGGTTCCTCTTGATGCCAATCCCGAATTCGAGGCTTTCAGGAGGCAGGCAGACTTCAATCGGGGCAAGTCTTTTGCTCTCTCCACAAGTCATTATGCTCAGCCTTCGGTGACATCAAATGGAGTCGCACCTGTGCGCCCTCGACCACCGAGATGGCACACTCATGGTAGCGATACTGGCGGACCATCTCCATTTGGTCGGGGATTGAGCTCTGCCAATGTTCGGCCAGCTAGCAGAATGGATATCGACCAGGACAGCTTACAGGACTCGGCCTATGTTTCATCGGACTCAAAGCGTAATTCCGAATCGTCTCTTCACCATCATATTCCCGCACTAAGCCTACCACGATTCGAGTCTCCTCTACCAATGGATCCTCCTCAGAACCGTACAGGTCTAACTCGGTCTGAAGACCGCGACCCCAGGTTGTCTGTCATGGAACATCGCCCCGAGCCTCCTGATGCTCGAGATATCCACCGCTCTGCCACTGTACCAGCAACCCTCGAGCCTGGACAACCACACATGATCACCGGACAGCAGCTAAGAGACATGCTTCAGAACGTAAAGCAGGAGCGATTACTTCTTCTTGACCTTCGCTCCTCTCAAAATTATGCCCAGTCCAGGATTCAGCGTGCTCTCAACCTTTGCATCCCTACCACTCTTCTGAAGCGAGCTACTTTCAATATTCAGAAGCTGAAGCAGACTTTCCAGAGCAGCGCTGATTCAGATAAGTTTGACACATGGAAGGAGACAGACTACATTGTCGTTTATGATGCTCATGCTTCCGATAAGCGAGATGCGATCACTGCTCAGAACATGATCAAGAAATTCACCAACGAAGGTTACATTGGCGGCACATGCATCCTCAAGGGTGGCTTCAACTCATTCCAGGAGAACTTTCCCGATTTTGTCGATCATCAATCAGCTACTGGAGCACCCGGAAAGCCTGGTCCTGGCCATGGAGGAATTGCCCCTGTCATTGGTGGAGTTATGCTTCCCAACGCCAGCAATGATGTGAACCCGTTCTTTTCCAACATTCGACAGAACATGGACCTTGCAGACGGTGTAGGCCAATTGGATGTTTCAAGACCCTCTGCATTGGATTCCCCCTCTCTACCTCGCTGGCTTCGAGAGGCGGCTGCCAAGCCTGATCACGGAAAGAAGGTTTCAGATAAGTTTTTGCACATTGAGGTTGATGAGCAATCTCGAATGAAGGCAGCATACGCAGCTTTCAACCCGCACAACCAAGATAAGCGAAGCCAGGTACAGCTTTGCGGTGTTGAGAAGGGAGTCAAGAACAGGTACAAGGACATCTTGCCTTTCGAGCACGCTCGAGTCAAGTTGCAAGAGAAGCCTGAAGGAACATGCGATTACATCAACGCTAGTCATCTCAAAGCATCTCGAAGCAACAAGCAGTATATCGCCACCCAGGGACCCCTCCCCGCCACCTTCGAGGTATGTCAGCCACTTACAGCATACGGAATTTTACTAACTTTCGTTTAGGACTTTTGGTCTGTTATCTGGCAGCAGGATGTGCGTGTCGTAGTCATGTTGACTGCCGAGTCCGAGGGCGGCCAACTCAAGTGTCACCCTTACTGGAAGGGCCGAGATTTTGGGGCTATTCGACTCAAGCTTCTGTCTGAGAAGAAGGTATCTCTTGACATTGATAAGCATAGGTCCGAATCCAACCATACTCCATCTGTCTCGGAAAGTGAGGCGGGTAGGAAGCGCGCTCATACCACGACTACAATGGATCCGAACCAGACACCCAAGGCACCAGGCGCACCAGCTGAAACACCCTATGTGATCGTCCGAAAGTTTGCTCTTTCGCACGCTTCTCATCCGTTTGCGCCCATTCGAGAGATTACGCACCTGCACTTCCCCTCATGGCCCGACTTTGGAACACCCGCTCAGCCATCGCACTTGTTGGCTCTTGTGGAGTTGGCCAATGTGATGCAACGTTCTGCCCTGCCAGTCGAGACATCTCAAGTATCAAAGATTTCAAGTTTGGAACCGCCTGCTATCACCTGGTACGACGAGCCGGAGGCCGATTCTCGTGCGCGACCAATGCTCGTACACTGCTCTGCTGGATGTGGTCGCACTGGTACTTTCTGCACTGTCGACAGTGTTATTGACATGTTGAAGCGTCAGAGACAAGCCAAGATAGATTCGGTACGATCACGCGATCACGATGGAGATGTCTCTATGGGCGAGAATATGGATACTTCCCCTCGATCGATGAAGCACTTCAATTTCTACACCCCTGGCCAGAGAACGAGCATGGAAAGAAAGGTTGCTCGAGGCGGCGCCCACATTGATACGGACTGGGTATACGATGACAGTGTGGATCTTATCCAGAAGACGGTAGAGGATTTCCGAGAACAGAGACTGAGCATGGTGCAAAGTCTCAGACAATACGTTCTCTGTTACGAAACGGTTCTTGAATGGGTAACAAGAATGAACGAGCGAGGGTCAAACGCTCCAAACGGTCGACTTCGAAGTGGAAGCCTTCGCCACTAAGACCAGAATGCATCATGAATAAGTAACGGTTTTATGGAGCACAAACAATTGCATAGGCACATGGAATAATGCAACAATGGAATATGGGTGGATGGGTTACAGGCGTTTATTGGTTCAGCTGCGTATGATTCTGATCAGGATGCCAGCACAGCGAGCATGCGATGCTTATGAAAGGGAACATTATATAAAAAATGACGGTACGGAGGGCCACCTTTGGTTGACACTTACTATGAGAGTGGTGGGACAAGGTTGTTGGTTTCTGTATAGTAGAATAAAAGGGATGACGGGGGAGGGAAACGGTGCGACCTTGCATGAAACATGGGACTTGCATAGTAGGGATCGATAAAAGGCTACATTGCGTGCGCGTTTATTGGATCGTGACTGACTGTACTATGATGTGCACGTGTATACGAATTTTGAGTTGAAGATGTGGGTTTGGTTGAAAGAGCGTCGTAGAACAGTCGATTTGATCCTTGAAGAACAGCGGGTTAACGTTACAGTTGACCTACAGCAGGCCTTTGGCGACCAATTCTTCTAACAGCCCAGTATCCTAACGCTCCATATCAAAGAAACATTTGTACTGGTGTGAGTTACAGCCCGAGTATTGAAAGCGGATATACCCAAGAGACGGAATCAATTTGATCCTTTCATGTTATGTGGGACCATCATTTAGGTTACCTTATTTTTATACCTCGAGTCTCAGAGTAGGATCCTTTAACCTACCTATGCTGTACCCTTCTGGGAAGCTTCAGACATTCCTATTGGTCTCTGAAGCACTACTTTAGCATCGATGAAGACGTCCAATTGCAGGCAGTGTTGTGTATCACAGGAGAGCTTTCAATGCACAACCTTCCATGGGTCATGAGAGGGGGGAAACACGTGTGATGACGTCGTCAAAGATGCATGAATTAGAATCTGGGGGCTTCTGGTCCAGTAAACCAAAGATAGAAATGACATGGCTGGGGTATGAGACGGGCGTGACCCGTGGAGAAAAGGGCCTCGTTTCACTGCGTCTTGTACATGTACATTACTGTAGAACTTGACTTACACCAAGCCATGGAAGAAACGGATGAGGCTAGATTGGGTTGGAGTGATTGATAATCCGTGGAGACATAGTTCTGGTGGGTTCTTTTGAATGGATAGAGCTCATCTTAACTAAAATGTCGAAAATCCGCTGTAAGCACTCAGCCTAGCAGCCCTGAGCAGCACCCGACATCGTGCTCGGACTGGACGGGAGCCTTCCGCTGTAGCCAAGTCTTTGAAAGTCCCCCAGAATGGATCCCCCTTAGTGGAGAGTGCCCTGAAAGGATTCTGACACATGCCCTGTCGTGTCCACGGAGCCGGGGCGTCAAAGTTTCACAGGCCCAAGACAATGTGTTCCAAGGAAAAAGGGAGCAATAAGGTAAGGCCCTGTAACAAAAATCGTCCATGCTTTCAACAACAACTGGAACCTTCCTTTGATAAACCCCACTTTACGTGCTTTCTGGTGCAGGACCCTTTAAGGCAGTCGCGGTGGGTTGTGTTATGTCGGTCGGTGCCTTCCTTTTTATCGTCAACATCGTTTTGTATTGTATTATTAGTGTCGCAGTTGCGATCGCAAGCAGTACAGAGTGCGGAAAGAGCGGCACTTCGACAATACGCCACTTACCTGACCTTCATTACGGACTGCAAGTGCAAGTGCGTGCAACAAGCACAAGCAGGTGCGATAAGGATTCGCGCTCCATTGGATCTTTCCATCCATCCCCGCCTCCATCTGGTATCTTCTCGCCGGTTTCCCTCCTCCAACCTCACACTTCTTTTTTCTCCTTGTTCATCAAGACCGCTCGCTTTTGTAGGCTTTAATATTACCAGGCTTGTACAATACTTTATCTTTTCCACTTCCCCTCACTTTTGGTGATCGTCGCCATTTTTATACGATTCGTTTGCGATACACTGCGCACTCCTTCATTCCAACCTCGCCTGGTGGGCTCGTTTAGCGGACGTGAGACTCCCTGATTCAGAACCACTGCCCACAGATCCCACTGCGCCACCAGAATTGCCCTGGCCGAAACGGCGCCTGGTTCTTGACTTACGCTTTCAGCGCCCAGTCCGGCCTCTTCCGTTTGGGCGTCGACCACGAAACGACATCCCCCATATTGGGATCGCATTTTCTTCCACCATTACTTGATCTTTGATCGATTTTACTACATAATTATTATTGCCGTGGTCATGCCACAGCTGCCAACAGCCCCCGATACGATGCGCCGCCTCTCCTATGACCTGGCAGAGCCGTCGCGCAACATCGAAGAATCCAACGGACCGCTCTCTGATCAAGAAATGGAGAACGGTCTTGATTTGTCTATGCCTCCACCTGAGGTTGACGACGAGGATGACGTCCTTGAGGACGACCCGAGAATATATACACCACCTCCCCACATCGCTGCTCGATTCTATCGCCCATCGCAGGCTCGCCGCAGAGATTCGGCTGCATCTTCGCGCCGCAACTCAGTTTCATCCGCACACTCACGATGCTCTTCTATCCAACCATCTGGTCACCGTGGAGGTGAACAGAGCAAGCATGTTGCTCAACACCTTCGTCGCGCCTCTATTATTGAGGATCGCAAGGCTCGGCTTGCTGATAGAGCAGCACATGCCGAAAAGGTTCGTCTTCGAGCAGCCCTCGCAAAAGCGACTCATCGCGATCCTTCGCTTTCCGAAGAGCGGGCTATTGCGGCACAGCAAGCCAGGGAACGCAACTTGGCAGAAATTGTCGCCAACTGCGCAGACGAAGTCAAGAAGGCAAAACAAGTTGCCGAATTCATGAGAGAGAAGCGAGAACAAGACATGGCTAGGATCAAGGCTCAGATTGACGAGAGAATGGCCGAAGCGGAAAGGCGGAGGGAGGAGTTACGAACAAAGAACACGTCCAAGCGAAGCCGTGGGCATAGTGTCATGTCCAGGAAGACCACCGACTCATTGCCTGACCTTGAGCAAGAGAGACGCAAGCCAACCACCGAAGAAGCAGCAGCCAGCATTCAATGGTGGTGGCGCGGCTACCTCCGCAAGAGAGCTATTGCCGAATTCAACGACCTTGGTCTAACCGTTGATGGGATCAGGGATACAGATTTTGATACTGTCGTGGAAGTCCTGGCCCAAGAAAGAGTTCTTGTTATCACAGCACGGCTACTTCGGCTGTGTGGTCTTGAAGAGGGTGAGACGGGCTCGGTTGGCGAGATGGCCGCTGTTCGCACGTTTCTGAGTGCTTTCCTAATTCTTGGTCATCCCAACCAGGTCCTCAGCAACAAGAACGATAGTGGCGATGAGGAGGTCGTCGATGCACTTGCTTCCCATCGTCTGCCTTCGACAGATCTGGCTAATCCCCAATTACAAGACTTGGTCGGCAAAGCACGAGATGTGCTTATCTCTTTCGAGAATATTCTCTCTCGTCTGACATCTGCCAACAAGTACACAATGCCACCGGCGCTCAAGAAGACTCTGCCAGAGGCGTACGCCACTTTTTACAACGCATTCATCGCTTGGAAGTCTCGAGACTCCAATGCCTTGATTGAGGTCATGCTCATGCAGTTCGTTGAGCTTGACGCAATCTATCAGACGGTTAAGGATACGACCGACGATGCTGCTACAGCCCTCTACAAGAAGAGCATCCAAGATAATCAGCTGATGCTCATTGTGCGTATCAAAAAGCTGGCTGGCCCAGAAAAGGGTAAAAAGATGATATTTGACGCGGTATCCGAGGCTAGAAAGTCTCGTACTGCCAAGAAGAAGACGGGCGATACAAAACCCCGTGTAGCTGAGAATGCACCTCGAGAAGCATCCGAGACAGCCGACAGCCTGGTCTCGTCTGAACCACAAACACTCACGCCACCTGCGACACCTGCCAGCAAAGCCAAGGAGAAAGCCCCTGCCCCTAAGACTGGACTTAATGGATTACTGCCCAACAATAGAATCGTGGTTCACGAGTTGGCTATCAATAAGGAGTATCAGCTCTCCTCGGATGAGTATAAGGAACAACAGTCAAATCAGCAACAGCCCATGTATACACAGATGCGTGCCACAATGGAGGGCGACGACAGTGCCATCAACTTTCAGTTCTTCGCTCTTGTGGCTAGTAATATCAAAAACAAACTTCAGCGCCTACTCAAGCCTGGCAACTCGTTGTACAACCTCATTGGCGAAATTCTGGACCCTGAGATGGCGGAGAGGCAGTTTGCGTTGGGTAATTTCTCGTATGAGAAGTTCTTCACTGCCATGGCATCTCTTTTGCCGAAATTGTGTGCCCCTTTCCGGGACGAAGAGGTCAAAGATTTGATCCAGAACAAGCTTGCAGACGGCAATATCATCGACCGAGTTGAGGCTCTAAACGGCTTCATTGACCTAATGCTTTGCGACTACATCAACTACCTCATGCGGATTGCCGCGCCTCAGCTCATTGAGTCTGCAGCTCCGTACGAGGCCAAGAAATTTGCCGAGGATGTGGAAAAGAACCAGCTTGGTCTTTCAGCTGCCGAGGCGACATGGAAGGCTTCGCGATCAAAGGTTCTGGCAGAAGTTCACAAAAAGGACCCTGAGAGAATCAACCATCCTCGGTCACGGCCGACAGCTGGACGATTCTACGCACAGATGCTTGTCGATATTTTCACCAAGATTTCGCCAACTCCCATTGAAGAAGTGCCAGAGATGCTTCGACTGGATTACGGCCGCATTGGTCAGATCTCCACCACTATCCAGCGTGTCATCACAGCGGGTGCAATTCTGCTACAGTGCAAAAACCTGCTAAAGCGTGACGTCCGGTCTTCCTGGAAAATGGAGGCGTCTCGCATCATGGCTGTATTAGAGGCTGGTCACCCTCTTCAAACTACTTTGGACGGCACTATGGCCGCTCTCGAGTCTGGTAGGTCGATGCCGACAGCGACCAAAGGTCACCTGCGTGCCCTTGTCACAAAGGTTCTGACTGCCAGCCAAGATATGGCACAAAATGGAAACGAACCAAGAGAACCCGTTCTCCGACTCTTGCTCACTCGCCTTCGTGGTAACATCCTTGCCCGTTTGGCTGCTGGATCGGCAAGCGACAAGGTCAAGGCTGCTAATAATGCAGGCGAGAAGCTGGCCAGTCTTGGTCTTTCTGAATTTGTCGATCGAGTGAGAGAAATTTCGAATTTGTTAGAGAAGATTGGAACTGTCGACAGGGCAGCCCATGGACCTTGGTGGGACGCAGTAGCAACGAAGGTTGAGCAAGACGAAATGTCAGCTTAGACGGCGCATAATAAGTTGAGGTGTTTTGATAAGCATGAGGGCAAGCAACACGGATGCATGGTATGGAGGTTAGCGTTTGGCTTTTCACCTTGGCAAGGACGGGATCTGATCTTGGGAAGCGTTACTTGATTTTGGCTTTCATGGCGTACTGGTATGGATAGCTAATATGGCTCACTCGGTGGGATCTGGTTCAACTTTACCTTTCAAGAGGTCATGGTAGCGCTGATGAATTACTTGTTTCACGGATCTCGGTACATTGCTTTTTGGCTGGATCGGCGGATAGAATGATATTTCCAACCGGAGCGGTAGATACACGTCAAGTGCGTTTGTTTTGGTGAGAATTGAATTCCCAGCTCATACTGGGTACGTTATCTATACTTGAAACTGATGCGAAGTGAAGATACCATGTTGTTTAACAAGCGCCCGCCGAGAGCATAAAAGACGAAATAATTAGCTTAGATTGACATTAAAACTATATCCTTTGATCCAACTCTTTCAATTTTATAGGACGACTTTCGCATTATTTGAGTGGCAGATGAGATTGTTGCTTTTATACACAGTCTTTCTACAAAACACAATTAGATAATGGAAACTAGCTGATGGTTGTCTGAATACTTCGACAAGTATCGCGGGTATGATATACATCTATGGTGTCTTGACCGAGTCCATGTTGTCCATCATAGAAAGAGGTCAGCTGGTGTGACAACGAAAAGATGACTACGACCATTATCTTGAATGCAAATCTACCCTATCACCAAGTCATGATGTACAGTGCAAAGTACTGTCATGACACAACACACACGGTCTATCTATCATTTCGCTTGTCGCCGGCAATGCGGCTCTGATCCTCACGTTGGCCCGAAAATTTCGACATAGCATCCCATCTACAGTCGACAGACGGGGGCAGCTACAAAAGTGCCATCAATGGGGGTCTAAAAGAGGATAAAATTTCCATCCCAATCCCATAAGAGTTCCTCGTCAAACGACCTGCCCAATTGCGACTGCGCATCGCATCGCATCGCATCGCCGACGACCGCGGGGCTGAAAATGTCGTCGTCCAAGGGCCTTTTGCGACATCTGGCTCAGCAGCAACGCATGTGGAGCTGCTGTAGCCCACTATCGGTGATTACACGGCAGACGACAGCCTCGGCTGCTTCTGTCTCTGCTCCTCTAGGAATCTTCAACGGTTATGGTATTGGAATTGGACCTGCGCGAGGTCTGACTTCACTTATAACGGGTGGTCAGACCAAGCCATCCAACGCTCGCCGAGATAATGGACGGCCTGTTATGCCGATCGGTATACGGAGGTACGTTAGTCCCATGGATCCAATGTTATGCACCTTCCTGCTGCAGATTGAATGCCCCTCCCCTCAAAACCGCTGGGACGGGCGATGGATGATGGACTGGGCCCACACCCCACCTACCGCGGGGTCCTTTGCCTTCAGCCATCCCACGGTCACGCATCATCACGCTGTTGTCTAATCTGTCCTACCTTTTGCCTCTTTTTAATTCCAATTCTTACTCCTTCATTCCCATACCATCCATCACTATCCATCATCTTTATACCCTTTGTTCCATTGAACATCCCATCATCACAGAAGCTGGACTCTTGTGTCTCTTGCTAAGCTAAAGCTCAGAGCTATAGCTTGCTAACCTATCCACTTTCAGTCTTGTCCCCAAGATCTCTGATCGAGCTTGTTCCGCCCACGCCAGACTCGCCCGCAACGAAACCATGACTGACCGCGATGTTCTCCCCGACAATGTCAAGCCTAAGCACTACCAGTTGTCCTTGAAGGACCTTGAGTTCACCAACTGGACCTACAAGGGAACCGTCACGTACGTCTTACATCTACCCCTCACCCGCCAAGCTAGCTCTAACAGCTTCCCAGCATCGACTCGGAAATCACTAAGCCTACCAAAGAAATCATCGTAAACACTCTCGAACTTAAGCTCTCTCACGCCAAGGTCTCCATCGACTCAAAGTCGGTGGAATCGACAAAGTTTGACTATGACGCCAAGGCCCAACGTTCTACCATCACCTTTAACGAGGAGCTCCCTGTCGCTTCCAAGGCTGCTATCACCATCGAGTTCGAGGGTATCATCAACAATGAGATGGCTGGTTTCTACCGCAGCAAGTACAAGCCTGCAGAGACTCCTTCCGCTTCGGTTCCCAGTGATGGCGAATGGCACTACATGTTCAGCACCCAGTTCGAGGCTTGCGACGCTCGTCGCGCTTTCCCCTGCTTCGACGAGCCCAACCTCAAGGCTACCTTCGACTTCGAGATTGAGATTCCTTCAGACCAGGTTGCTTTGAGCAACATGCCTGTTAAGGAGACTCGACCTTCCAAAGACGGCTGGAACATTGTTTCATTCGAGACCTCTCCTGTCATGAGCACCTACCTTCTTGCTTGGGCTGTCGGTGACTTCGAGTACATCGAGGCTTTCACTGACCGCAAGTACAACGGCAAGCAGATTCCTGTCCGTGTCTACACCACCCGTGGTCTGAAGGAACAGGGTCAGTGGGCTCTGCAGCACGCCCCTAAGATCATTGACTTCTTCTCTGAGATCTTCGACATCGACTACCCTCTGCCCAAGTCTGACTTGATCGCTGTTCACGAGTTTACTCACGGAGCCATGGAGAACTGGGGTCTTGTCACCTACCGTACTACCCAGGTCCTTTACGATGAGAAGACCTCTGACCCCCGATTTAAGAACGCTGTTGCCTACGTTGTCGCCCACGAGCTGGCTCACCAGTGGTTCGGTAACCTTGTCACCATGGACTGGTGGGATGAGCTCTGGCTCAACGAGGGTTTCGCTACTTGGGTCGGCTGGCACGCTGTTGACCACCTGCACCCTGACTGGCAGGTTTGGGCTCAGTTTGTTAACGAGGGTATGGAGGCTGCTTTCCGTCTTGACGGTATCCGCGCCAGCCACCCTATCCACGTTCCTGTCCGTGATGCTCTTGATGTCAACCAGATCTTCGACTCTATCAGCTACCTCAAGGGTTGCTCCGCCATTCGCATGCTTGCCAACCACCTTGGTGTCGAGACTTTCCTCAAGGGTGTTTCCAACTACCTGAAGGCTCATGCCTACGGAAACGCCAAGACCACTGCTTTGTGGAATGCTCTTGGTGAGGCTTCAGGCAAGAACGTGACCGAGCTCATGCACCCTTGGATCTCCAAGATTGGCCACCCTGTCCTTACTGTTGCTGAGGAGCCTGGTCAGATCTCTGTTAAGCAGTCCCGATTCCTGTCCACTGGTGATGTCAAGCCCGAGGACGACACCACCACTTGGTGGGTTCCTCTCGGTCTTGAGGGTAAGAAGGACCAAACCGGCATTGCCTCTTTGTCTCTTACCACCAAGGAGGATACTATTCGTGATGTCGATGAGGACTTCTACAAGCTCAACAGCGGCGCTACCGGTTTCTACCGTGTTAACTACCCCCCTGAGCGTCTTGCTAAGCTGAGCACTCAGCTTGACAAGCTTAGCACCGAGGACAAGATTTCCATCATTGGTTCTACTGCTGACCTTGCCTTTGCTGGTAACGGCACCACCCCTGCTCTCCTGACCTTCCTCGAGGGATTCGGTAAGGAGACCCACACTCTGGTCTGGCGCCAGGTTCTTGACTCAATTGGTGGTGTCAAGTCTGTCTTTGGAGAGGACGAGTCCATCAAGAAGGCTCTCGACAACTTCACTCTGAAGCTCATTGACCAGAAGGTCAAGGAGGTTGGTTGGGACTTCCCCGAGGGTGAGGACTACCTCACCGGCATTCTCCGAAAGGAGATCATTGGTGTTGCTGTTGCCAGCGGCCACCCTGCGTAAGTTTTGTCCATCTCCAAACCTGTGATTTTACTAACAGATATAGTGTTACTGAGGAGGCCCTGAAGCGCTTCAACGCTTGGGTTGAGAACCCCGAAGCCAATCCCATCCCCGCTCCCCTCCGTGTTGCTGTCTGGCGCGCTGCCATCATCAAGGAACCCGCTCGCACTGTCGAGATTCTCAAGAAGGAGTGGGCCAACACCAAGTCTATCGACGGCAAGCTCCTCTCCCTCAGCGTCCTTGGTACCGTCAAGGATACTGAACTCCTCACTAAGGAGGTTATTCCTTTCAACTTCAACCAATCTCCTCCTTCCAACGCTGTCCCTGCTGGAGACATGCACGTTTTGGGTGGCTCTGTTGCTAACAACGTCGTTGGCCGCCCTGTTCAGTGGCAGTTCATGAAGGACAACTGGGATGCCGTTATCACCAAGCTCGGTAACCCCGTTGTCGTTGACCGATACATGAACCTCAGTCTCAGCCGCTTCACTGACGTCGCTGCTGTCGAAGACATCGAGAAGTTCATGGCCGACAAGGACACCAGCAGCTTCAACCGAACTCTTGGTACCGTCAAGGACAAGATTCGCGGACGTGCTGCTTACCGCGAGCGTGACTCTGAGAAGCTCAAGGAGTGGCTCAACGCTCACGGATATGCTTGACTATGTAAATTATAGATGTTGTAAAATGAGCGGTTGTTATAGCACAAGCATATTTGATTGAATAAAAGTTAAATTGAATAAGGTAAAGCTGCCCCTGTGATTTCTCCTGAACTTTGACATAACTCCTCTAAGCTTTAGTAAAGATAGTCCAAACGGCGGGTGGCATGCCTGAAGAGACAAAAATGCAATATAAAGTTAGACGTTTCAATCTGTAAGAATGACTGTTTGAAACCTGCATAACTTAATTGACTTCGGTCCCCTTGATTGTCACAAAATGACTGACTTCACATTAGAAGGTGTCTTCTGCTGTAATAGGTATATAAAGCAAAATATTCCTGCCATTCTCCAACAATCACACGAGCGAATCTTCAGATTCGTTTGACCGGTCTGGTGGTCTAGTGGTATGATTCTCGCTTAGGGAAAACCCTATAGCATTGCTTGCGAGAGGTCCCGGGTTCAATCCCCGGCCAGACCCTTCCTTTTGCTGTTCTAGACTTCTGTTTAGTTTGAACACACAGTACCTTGTTTTTGCTGTCGAAAGATGGATGTTGACTGACTGACTGGTTGGTTGGTGTTTGGAAAAGGTAGCCAGGCGTTTAACCCTTGGTTGACTGAGTTTTGTTAACAAACTGCTGCTAGTTTACCTCTCATCGATATGTATAGATAGTGTCTATCTATACTAACAAGCCTGAAACAGAGACTAAATATATATAAGCCACCAAACTATCTAACCACTGGGCTGACTACGCACCTAGCTAGGTGTATATATTCTTAGACCAAGTGCTTGATATCACTAAAGAAAGCTGAAAGTGAACATATTAATTGGTATCCATTGCTATTTAAATGCATAAACCTTTCATTTACTATATCCATAACTCATACAACTAGAACATCCACATTGTTAGCAATCCATTCATACGAGTCCTTTCTAAAGTCATCGTTGATGATGCTATTTTTGTTCGCCGTCTCAAACCACATGAGCTTCTTACTCTCCTTCCACTCGGGCCACTTGGCATACTTGGTAACGCCCTTGTTAGGATCAAGGTTGTATAAGAAGTTGAAGTAGTATGTTCGAATACTTCGCATGGCGTTGTTCGGCAGAAGACCGTAGAACACTTGAAGGAGATCAGAACCGTGGAATGTTCCTAGGATAGGGGTTCCGTAGTTGTAGCTTGCGAGGTAGGACCACGCAGGTACGTCTGGGTTCTTGTCGGCGGCGATTTGCAGGAAGACACGGCGAGTGAGGGAGAAGACAAGATCGCCAAAGACGGCGGCGCGGCGCTTGAAGCCGGGGAAAACTTCATTGAGGAGCGCTGTGCGATATGGACTGCCTGTGCTGAGGGTGGTGGGATATGTGTTCACCAGAGCGGTTAACTGCTGCTTTGAGGCCTTGTTGAAAAATAACTTTTGCAAGTAGTCGACGAATTTGGCTGTGGTAGTCAAGTTGGGTTGGAATAGTGCAAAGAGAGTTCCTTCGTCTTCCTGATTTCCATTGATCATGGGAACTGCGTAGTAACGTCCCGATGCAATCAGCACGTCTGGGCTATCAGGAAGAACCTTTCCGTCTGGTCGAGGGAGGTAAGATAGAGCTAGGGAATTGTATGACAACAGCCCTGGGACAGAGTTGGCAGCGTTGAGGAACTTGTCATAGGGTAGCTCGCGGAGACATTCGAGGCTATCAGAAGCATCAGAGCAGCCACCCTCCTTGACAACCGCGTCGTAGATAGCTTGGCCTTTAGCACTGTCTATAGGCTCAGCGGGAGCAACACTGCCCGAATTCATGATTGCGCCTCGGAAAAGAGGCTTACCCTTGTAATTGGCATCGCCACCATAGAGACACATCTGATCCAGTACGGAGATGGCACCTGCAGACTCTCCCCAGATAGTGACCTTTTCAGGATCACCACCAAAGGAGGCAATGTTATCCGCAACCCATTCAAGTCCCATTCTCTGGTCGAGCAGACCCAGGTTGGAACTTCCATCCTTCTTGATCTCAGCGCCGGGCATGAATCCGAAGCCAGCAACTCGGTAGTTGACAGCAACGTAGATGAAAGGCTGATCCTGGTCCATGGCAGTACCCAAGAGGCTGGTGCCGTCATACATAGCACTCGAGCCCAATTCGAAGCCACCACCAAAGATCCAGAACAGCACAGGAAGCTTGTCGCCAGCTTTAGTACCGGCGGGTCGCTGGACAGTCATGGTGAGACAGTCCTCTTGGCCAGTGATGGGCGTAAGGAAAGGGAGAGCCAGGAAGTCGGAGAGGAACTCCGTGATGACATCCTGGCCACCACTCGAGATGAACATTTGAGGGCATGCTGGGCCAGTGAGTCCTGAAGCGTCAAACTTTCCCAAAGGCTTGGATAGTTTCTTTGGAGGTTTGAGACGTAGAGAACCAACTGGTGGATCCGCGAAAGGAATGGCTCTGAAAGAATCAACCTTTCCAGAGCTAGAGCCTATGATCGTGCCAGAGGAAACAGCAACGGTGACTTTGGCTGCTCGCTCTTCAATGGCTGGTGAAGCAGGTGAGACAGGAGCAGCGTCGGGGATCGAGGCTGGAGCGGGAAAGGCTGCTGGGCTTGCAGAGACAGCAGTCAAGAGACCAAGGCTGAGGCCAGCGATAAAACCAGAGAACCTCATGATGAAGCTAGAGTCGAGTAAACTCAAGCTTGGAGGTATTGAGAAAGAAGACAGTAACAGAGACTGAACGAGGTCACCGGATGACGGACACCGAAGTATGAATACTTTTCTTGAGGTGGCTCCCAATGTCTCAGTCAAGACCGCAGATCATTCTCAAGGTGGGCGAGGAGCTCATTTTGAACTTTTCTTGTTCCCACGAACCGTCTTCTCTGCTCCATACAAATTACCGCTTTGACAAGACAAGTAAGTCAGTGCTTTGGCATCAACATTGATCACTATCAATTCTGGGCGACGTCGACTTGAGTCTCATGCTTGGCTTTCCGAAGAGGAAGCCATCGCCGTTGAATGTCTAGTCTATCCCCTCATGGTGTCAAAAGAATTAGCCGCCAAGAGCCTAAGAGACGAAATAATTTAGTCATCTTATGCCAACTTAGGCGAACATTTAGATAGCTTTATTTTGGCAGAGAGGATAACTTTTCTGTTACCCACCTGTCTATACCCAAAGAGTCGTGATAAACCGAAAGGGCTCTTTTGTCTTTCGTCCTCCCCGCTTCCCCACGGGGAAGAATAAGAGACCGACCGAGGCAGACGATAGATATCCTGCTTTTTGCTAGAGTTTAACAGGTAGAATAGCACGTGGTGGAAGATGAGATGGTGTGTTGGAAGGAAAAGATCGACGATCAGCTGAAGGGTGTTGATGGTTTGTTAGGCTCTGGTTGGTGGAGATGGTAATTAAAAAGGTTTCATCGGAGGAAGAATAGTTCGTATGCAGTTTATAGAAGATGGTGGGTACGGTAACAAGTTTCTATGTACAGTATTTGCCGGTAGTAGTACAGTACTATATCTCTTCAAGACCCTTGACCCTGTCTGGTATGCTCTTCGTTCACAGGCCCCGCAAGACACGGGACGACAGATCCAATACCACATTTCGTTTCTTACTATATAAGAAGAATAATAATGCGGGGTTGTAAGATTCAAATGTCGGTCTAGAAGTACAATATCTTCTCTCGTATTATCAAGGTAAATTGTATTAATCGTGAGCAGTTTAGATAGATAGATGATCAAGTCTCATACAGATTTAACGTCATCCCACATCTTACCCCAGCTTTCAAAGCGGTAGAAACATCACAACCCCTGCAATAGAAACACCCGGTGACAACGGGCAGTTTTCCTGTTCTGGACAGCAAGCAAAAAAAGACAACTCACTTCAGCCTTGTTACCCAAGCTTTGGGTATCGAGTATGTCACTTATTAAAAGTAGTTATACGCCATGTTGCTTGCTGTTCATGTATATGTCAAAGAAGGAAAAACAGATATAAAAACCACACACTCTTTTAAAGTGAGATCGTCAGGACCAAGAGCAACTAAAGCTCCCGTACCTGAGCGTATCACCCCTCTAGTCTCAATATGCAGATGATCGCACAGCCAAGAAGGAGACGCAACCCTCACTTCTCAAAGCTACTGCAATAATCCCGAGACTGTGCTGTCGCCATTCAAGTATAGCTGAACAACTCTCCGTTTGCTGCAATAGGAAATCGTTACGACAGTATTCCCCAAAGTGACTTAACCATGTATGCAGGTGTAAGCACATCAGCTCAAGCTCTGAACTCTACTATCTCCGCTTCCTGCAAGCAATGTAGAGTGAGAGAAGATGGTGTACTCATGGCGTATCCCGAGGTTCGGACGATATCCGTTTGACTTTCAGAGAATAATAGACATGTGTTTCTCGGGACTTTGATACCAAAGTTTATCTCGTGAGTTATCAAGGTCCTGAAGGTCAATAAACAACCCCTCATATCACTCCAAGATGCGGAAATGTCACACAGTAGCGTCGATGGAATTCAAGTAGTATGTTCGTTAATTCATAGTCAGGTTCTGGACACTGCCTTTCTGGACTGAAAAATCTAACAAGAAAAGTGATATTCATACATGTCCGCTGTCGAATCCGCTGAAAAGTCCCATCATTAGAAGTGAACCCGACCGCTGTTGATCACAACCTAGTAACCTTTCGCGCCGTTCCTGTTGCCGTGTATGCCACTGAGGCAGATGGAATCTTAATGCGATTCCCAAGACCGACCAACCAAAGTCTAATAGTGTATGCGTGTCCTGTTGCGCCCAAACACCAAACGTGGGTATATAGTACCGTCATCTCATGCATTGCTTGTGATAATTTCTCACATCACCACACCCACCCGGGTGCCTTCTTTCAAACATCGCTTCTTTGAAGCGACCGCCGGTTCTTCCTGACCTTCTTTTCCAAAGCTGCCGCTGACAACTTCAGAGAAGACTTCTCGCTTGCGCTTTTCGCCACTGGGCCTCTCGGGGTCTTTCTCCCAAGTCTCTATCTCATTTGGGTTGAAAGCGCCGACAACCTCTTGGCCCAAAGCCTTGCCGAGTCGCTCCCGCAAACCTAGAATCGGCCAGATTGGAACCCTGGTGTATTCGATCTTGAGGCCAGAAACAGCGGCATCATCATCGTTCATAGGAGCCTTGAAAGGGTCGTGGAACTTCTCCAGAAACTCCTTTGTTATGTAGCCAGTGTAAACAATAAACTCCGACGTATCCGTATCATGTGTAAGAATCCTCAACTTGAGGTCGTGGAAGTTAGGGCATGGCGGGATGCCTTGCCCAGGGGACATGCGCGAATCGCGTCTGCCAGTGAGAGGTGGGGAAGGGTAAAAGTGCTTTTGCGCCATTCCCAAAAAGACACCCACAAAATGCGCGTCGTGATCCGAATTTGAAGGAAGTAGCATACGTGCTCGGAGCTGTTGGAGCCGAAACACAGGCTCATTCCATGATCGTCCTGGACCAGGTGCGACACGGAAAAGGTTATTCCTAATTGAAGCCAACTGGGTCTTGCCAATGTAGCAGATCATGGGCAAATGAGCGGGGCTCTGGGTGGGTGATGACTGTGATGCAATGTTGAAGGACTCGGCAGGTCGCGTTGATACCGATCTGAAAGATGAGTATGAAGACTTCAACTCTTCGGCAGGGAAATTCCACATGATATGTGCGCGCACAGCATCACGATAAACGCGACCACCAAAGTATAGATGAAGTTCCGGTAGATAGTTCGGCTTACTGAAAGCGTTAGGCCATAGAGTCATCAAAACCGTTTTGACAGCATTGGAAGAGTGGATAGGATGCATCGAGTCAGGCAGGAGTATTTGCGTGAGCGAGTTGCTAAGAGTGATGATGGTGTCCGAAGGGCTAAGATGACCTCGCGATGGTGGCGTGCCTGGAGCCGCGATGGGCTGAGGGGTATCGCATGGTGGTTGTTCTTCCCATCGCGCGCCAAGAAGTTGAGCATGTAGATCTGTCCAGCAGATGGGTCGCACAAAAAGCGTTGTGCCTGCGTGTTGCTGGAAAATATCGTATAGCGAGTTCTTGGCCGGTCGGTAGATGCGCTGTAGACGTCTTTTGCGCGGGGTGACGACGGGGGCCTGCGATGTGCAAGGCGTTGTGTCGGGCGAGGCAAGGTTCCCGTTGCGCGACGGGGTGGTCATCGAGGTAGAAGATTGTGATGTCGCCATGTCCACCAAACCGCGCAGCTGTCCGATGAAGCTGCCGTTTCCAAAAAGTGAACTGTCGCGCGAAGAGGATGGATCAGCTGGATGTTCTTTGTCTGGGTTGTGTTGATGTAAGAGGAAGAATAAGTAATTAAAGCTTACCCAAATGCGAGCATTCAATACTTGATTGAATGGAAATGAATTCGCCCCCTTTGATGACTCTTACAGTATTGTTTGAGTTAATTTGGGTTTGGCTGCCTGTACAGAGTACCCGGATCTTTCTTTCCTGAAACTAGGTGCCTCTAGTAGGTAGACTTGTCCTGGGCTTGTTGTGACGGACGCGACTGCCCTGATTGTAATGATTCCCTGTCGCAGGCTGTCTCCTGTTTATCTCCAGTGAAAGAGATGCGACAAGACAAGCTCTCGCTAGCGGCTGGCACGAGCGTCGCCCTTGTCAAAGATTGACGAAAAAAGTAAAAAAAGGGGTTTAGAGGCAATCGGCTTTGAGGCAGTGACCAATAAGAAGCCAGCTGGAGGAAGAGAAAGGCAACTGATGAAAAAAGCTGCAGAGAGTGATTGCCTTTCTTGAAGCAAGCAAGTGTAAGAAAAAGCAAACGTGAGTGTCAAGAAATCTGAGAGAGGGGAATGGAAAGAAAAAGAGGAAGAGAATTATCGGTGACACTGCGTATGACACACACTTAAAGTTAGGGCGGGCCGTTCTGCCTTTTTCTGTTGAGCGAGCAAAGCAAAGCAAGGCTTCTTCCTCTGCGGGATAGTGGGTACTGAAATGTAGGTGTAGCGTATCTGTGCACGAGGGAGGAGGGAAAAAGCGCGTTGCCACCGTGATTCGTCGCGGACCCTTTCGGCGCGAAGGAGTAGCGAGTTCACGTGAGATCGATCGGCTCAGTTAGGCAGCCGTCATCCACCTTGGCAGACGTGGCGGTATCTGGAGCGACAGTAGCTGCGCCACAAGCGGTGTGGCCTGATAAGTTCATGCTCTAAAATAAGGCATCAATTTTGCTCGATGGCCTTTGCTTGCCCCACTTGTATGGACAGCTTCGTGAGCAGCAAGCAGCTTGGGCAGCCCCGCCGGTGACGAAGCGCAACTCACCATCAGCTCGTAACTTGCGCCGATTTGTCTATATCCCCCCCAAACAGCTTTGATATACTGAGATTGGTCTATCAATTGCCTTTCAAAATGCCGGTATGTCTTTACTCTATAATTCTTATACAAACAATTGCACGAATACACTCCTTACTCCTATTGCATCACCACCGCCTCCAATCTCACGATATCAACCCATAGCAACCAAGCTAACCATGCTTCCTTCCAGGCATACAACTCCGTTTTTAACTCGGACCCCAATGTCCCCCGTATAATCGGCAACTTCCCTCTTCTTCCTCTCCGAACCAAGACCCGTGGACCTGCCTACACCCTGCCTGTTCCCTCGCCGCCTCTGCCGGCTAACGAGTCACCCGACCCCGACAGTGATAGCTACGATATCCTCGACGAGGTCCTCGCTCTCTTCCGCGCCAACACATTCTTCCGAAACTTCGAGATTCAAGGCCCTGCCGACCGTCTGCTTGTCTATGGAATCTGGTTTGTCAGCGATTGCCTGACCAAGATCCGTCCTCACGCTTCTCTACGTGATGCCCAGAAGGATGTTATGAACTTGGCGCTTGACCTTAACTTTGCCATTCCCGGTGACCCAGGATGGCCTCTTAACCAGGTGTGTGCACCAGTTCTACCAGGCTAAATGGTGGAAATCAATCAGATATAATGGAATTGCTAACACTGTATATCAGATGTACGAGCCCCCTAGGGACAGACAAGAGGCGGAGCAGCTTAAGCAGTACCTGTCGCAGGTTCGACAGGAGCTTGCTGCCCGATTACTCGCTAGAGTATACGATGAGGATGAGACCAAGCCCAGCAAGTGGTGGTTGAGCTTTACCAAGAGAAAGTTCATGGGCAAGTCGCTGTAAGGTGTTAGTAAGAATTGCTGCGACGTGAACATATTTAGAAGACTACAATGACATAAGTGCTAAGGAGCTGGCGCAACACAAAAGATATTTCTAGCATTCGCAACCTCTTCCATGGTCCTCGTTTCTGATCAGTGGTATCGTGCTTGCATAAATGCTTTGCAAGTGAACCCCTTCCAGGTCGGTAACAGAGAAAGGTCCCCTAAGGCTTAGGTTACAACGATAAAGTATCCTAAGTGTTAGTCTAAGCGGACATAAAGTGACGAAATTATTTCGTCTCTTAGGTACCTACCTATGCTCAGAGGCCAATTCTTCTGATACCCTGAGGCCTTCCTTCCTTGATGGGCGCGAGTTGGTGTTCCTTTGATGGATGTGCACTGCACTTTCCACGTCTTAAGGTAGAGTATCAAGCTGGCCAATTGACAGTGAATCAGTGCCTCAGTACGATAGCCAACTACTTTCGCATCTCTCATAATCAGAAGTAATCAGGAGTTACATTTTCATTATCTATCCTCGCCCTGTCCTTGCAAAATGTCATCCGAAGAGCAACAGCAGTCGCAGCTGTTTCCGCATGTACCGCTGCTCGATGAAACAGGTCGCGTACGCTTATACGAAGTCTTTCGTTTCTTCCACGAAAATCTCTTGCGGTATCCCATGAATATTCCTCAAGTGGCTCGCGTCTCTGTGACGGCAGGGTTTGTTGCCGTTGTCGTACCAGAAGATGGCTACATACCTACCACGGAAGCCTTCAAGGACCAAGCCATTCGTCAACATATCTCCAACACAAATACCCTAGGACAGCTTCTTACTGCAAGGACTTGTTTCATCTTCTCGAACTCGTCATCGCTGATCCATTTCGCTCGGCACATTAGGAGAATCCGTCCTATGTCTGTTTATATTGAGATATTGGTTTTTGATCGCGACGAATTTGGCGCGGCTGAGCGTATGGTTGCTTGGGGCAAAACTGTTGATCCGCATGGCCATTATGAAGGGGCACACTCCCACCTGGTAAACTGGGCGAACGGACTACGGCTACTGGCTGCACATTGCCGCCTCAATGTCAGATTCGTTATGATGGTGCCCTACCGAGATTACATCTCCCTTCGCGACCAAACGGAAGTGCTTCGCATGGTTAGTGTGGACTACTTAGTTGTTTTGTCATGTCGGGATAAATGGCAATGGATCCCCTACCCCGACCTCAATTTCTCTCTAGCTGCGACAGCTATAACAGCTTCATCAGCAAACTACCAACATAGTATTACGGGATGGCAGTACCGCGAGATGTGGCTGCATGGAACACGACTACATTCTGGCTTCTGGAGATTAGTAAAAGAAGAACCCCAACAAACATAAAGATTATCCTCCCCATAAAGATTATCGTCTAAAGCTGAGGGCGCTGAGAGACAGAATAGCCTAAGCCAGCATAAATGAATCAGACCATTTCTTCTCTTATGATCTCTGAGCTCTCGGCCACTGAATTCACGATGACAATGTACCTAGCCAAGGTTATTCCAATAAATGCGCTATATGAATACTTCTAACCAAACTTTACTGCTTCAGGATGCTTCTAGCTTTCTTCGTTTGAACTTGCCCCTCGCTTCGATTTTGCCCTCCACCGGCACCGCCCTCCAGGCCGTGAACAAGAACCCATCCGCACCGCCTCGTCCCATCATAAAAGGATGCGTCCTGCCAGGAAGGACTTGCCAGCGTCGCGCTCTGCTGCTCTGGACCGTCACGCCGAGCAGGAGTGTGGGGTTGATGGGGAACTCTTCTGAGCCCTCCCAGCGCTCGAGCTCTTCGGCAGTCTTGGACTCTACCTCGGGGGGAGGCGAAGATACCCATGCGGCTCTGCGAGAGACGCTGAAGCAGTCGGCTAATTCTGTTAGGGGCTCGATCGTGGGCGAGTAAATGGCGATGGGTGCACCGCCAGATAATAGGGGTACGGTGCTGCGAACAATAGAGATTGGGTCCATGCTGCTTGCGACTGCGAGACCGGAGAAACCACCGGCACGCGTTGTGTCGACTACATGGCGAATGCGGGCCCATCTTCTTCTCTTACGGTGGTAGTTTCCTCTACGGTTCGTCTTCCAAGAAGCGATCTCTTCGGGGGAGGCCTCAGGGGGCTTGTTGTTGTAAGCATCATCTTCCTCAGGGGCCAGGAGCTGTAACCAGGAAATGTCCATGAGGTTGGTATCGAGGGGGTGGTAAGGGGGTGAAGGGTTGGCGTTGGCAGCGTCGTAGTTGAAGTATCGGAGGAGAGCGAGGTTGGGCTGGGTCTGGCCGTGGATCATAGTAAGGGTGTTCTTGTTGACATAGGGGACATTGAAATCGCTTCGTTTAGGGTGACGCTTCCTCTCCTGCTTTTGCTCAGGAGGGTTCGTAGTTTCTGAGGTCTGAGGTTGGCCTTGCTCGGCAGAACCTGCAGCAATGGTATCGTCGGTTGTCTCTGGTTCAGGCTTAGGGTGGAGGATGTCCATTCTCTCAGCTAGAGAGGCAACGAGCAAGCCACCCGTGTCGTCGACGACTAACCACCTTCCACCTTGCGATGCACTAGTGTCTTCAGAGGGAACACCTCCAAAGTGCACATCCGCCCAACATCCTACCAGCGCCATCATCTCTTGCCTCATCTCAAGGATTTTGGAGGCATCGCGATCCTCCAATAGCCACTGGGCCAACATCGGTACGTCCAGAGGTAGCACAGTAAATCGTCGAATGTACTTTTTCGTCTTAAGAAGCTTGTATTTGGCCAGAGAGTACGCCGTCTTTTGGTCAATCGCCGTATGTGAGAGGAGTAGCTTGGCGATCAGCTCCTTGCCAGCGGATGCGCCCTTGCGCTTAAGCTCCTCGATCTCCTCAGGCTTGAGCGTCTGTCGCGCCGAGTCGTCAATGATCTCACGATTCGATCGGATAAGGACCTTTCCACTCTCGTCGACGAGGGTAAGCTCCTCTCCGTCTGCGGGGGCAATCACATCGTCGCCTTCGGCTGGTTCTGTCGCTTCTTTGTTGGCGTCGGCCAAGTCGTCGGCGTTGAGCTCCTTAGCAGGAACAACGCGAAGTCGCGAGAACGTCTCGCCTTCGAGCTTATCTTGGACTTCATAGGTAAAGTGAAATGGGCGATTGATGATCAGATTCGTCGGGAATGAGCCGTACTTGCCCAGGGAAATGGTACTGTCGCAAAAGTTAATGACTGCGCAGGGTGCAAGTAGCACAATTGGCTTACGTGTTTGGTACTACTTGTAGCACCTTATATGTCTCGTTGGGAAGCTTTATGGCGACCCATGAGTTGGGCTGTACCGTCTCTTTGTCCATTTTGCGATATGTATGCGCAGGTTGGAACTGGGATTTTTGTTTGCGATTCCTAAAAAGAAAAAACTAAGGTTAAGCCACTCACCTCGGTGAGCCCCGCCACGGCCCCCACCCTCCGATCTTGACCGAGATCTCGGCTCCTCTCACCTTGTGCTAGTATCAGTTTACGATATAATAGACTGACTACCAGGCGGTTCGAAAAACAACCAGGACACAGAAGTCTACTGAACAACTTAGACTTACTTAGGCACTAAGCTTAGGGTAGACTATCCTAATTTTTATGATACCCTCAGCTAAGTGTCGCTTTTTCTTCGACCCACCTGACTACCTAACCAACTGGAGCTTCTTTGCACTTACAATCAATCCTCACATGGTACTGACGTCTTATTGCTCCTATGTAGATACCACAGACGTAAAACAAATCAACCATCACATGGTACTGATTTTCTAATCGTAAATACCTAGGAGACTAAACCCTTTGTTTAGTACTTTAGGCGAGTTTCACAAGCTTTTAAAGCTATTCTTTTACTAGAGGCAAGAGACCATTCAACATTCGTACAATCTCAATATCTATCTACCTCTATGTTACACGTTAAACTGTGTACCTCTTCTGTCAAAGCTGCAATTTACATGTGGTCTATTCCAATTCCAAAGGAATACAAAGTGTAGTTTACAAGTCATGTTCGCGTCTCGGGCGAAATCTGTTACCAAAACCAGCCTCTGATACTCATGCATCAGTGTGAGTTTGTCGCATGCCAAAAATCAAGATGCAAGGATTATACAAAATCGCTTACTCGCTGGTCCCTCTGAGACCAGCCTCAGAACGTCGTCCGAAGCAGGATGCAAAAAGATCGCAGATAGCGTACCAAGCATAGAGGGCCATGCTCATAGTACCAAAAATGAAGAAGGGTACGAGGGTATAGGTTGTAAGATAGACAAAACCTCCGGAGCGCTTGACGACTTTGAACAATTCATTGCGCATGATGGATTCTGCACCTTCGTTCCACTTCCAGGGACCGACCATTCGGAACTTGGTGTTGAAGTTAGATCCCATGGCCCAGGTGTAAAAGACCTTGAAGCCTTCCTTCATGACAGTCCAGGCGCGGGGAGCAGAGCCCATGTCGAGTGCAAGCTGGTAGGCATAGCTCTCATGATCGACAGCTCGCTTGGTGTCCCAGAAGCTGTAGTTGCCGCGGGCGTGAAGCTGGTAGTCAAGTTCGTATGCGTCAAGAGCGTCAGAATCGCGAGCGGAGGGTACTGCCGTGGGAAAGCGGTCCTGGAGCAGACGAAGAACCCAGAGCTGAGCCTGGAGTTCAGCGAGGGGAGGGATAGCACCGATAGCGGGGCGAATGAATCCAATATAACCGATTGTCACGTCTCCTTCCTTGTAGATGCCTCGTACGTTGGCCTGCGAGACAGTGGGATATTCATTTCCCAAGAAAGAGAACTCACGGGTGTATCCGGTAGCAAAAACCAAAACATCAGGCTTGAGCTGTTCGTCGGAGAGGACCGAGTCGCTTGGCAGCATCTTGTCGAACTGCATCGAGCCATCGGAGCCAATATTGGTAGGCCAGCTCACAACATCGATCTTCTTGCCCTCAGTGTCCTTGATCTTGACATTCATGTATGAGGATCGTACGCGGTTGAACCAGGAATCGGATCGCTTGCCAACGTTCATGTAAGGCAGAGCCTTGTCGCTCTTGCAGAGAAGAATTGAGTCGACGTGCTTGCGGGAGGCGCTCATTTGTCCAACCCACTGGTCAGGTCCTTCTTCGGTACCCGAGATAAGAGTGTGCATCTTCTTGATCCAAGTGTCGTAGTAGTTCCAAAGCAGCTGGCTCTTCTGAAGCTTCGGGTGAACATAGGCAGTGTCGAACAAGCTTGCAACTGAAGTGTCCACGGGCTTGTTAGGGATATCAGTAGTAACTGCACGGTCCCTGACTTGAGGAACCGGAATGATCTTGGGTGCGCAGAAGAAGCCATCACGATGACAAAGGGTGACGGTCTTGGCGGCCGAGGTGACAGCAAGATACGCGAGATCCATACCAGTTTCACCAGCACCCATGATGTAAACATTGGTGTTTTCGCCAAACTGGGCTCGAGTCTTGAGACTAGATGAGTGGAGGACTGTACCAACTCGCTCGATGCCTTCGATGTGTGGCATGACTGGGTTGACATTGATGCCACTGCATACAGCAACAGCGTCACACCCCCACTGAGAGGTAGCGGACTTCTGAGTCAATTCGAGGATGTGGCCAGAGTTGCCTTCTCCACGGCTGACCTTGTTAACCTTGGTGTTGCACTTGATCTTGGGCCAGAGCTTGAAGTGAGTGGCATAGTCCTTGAGATACTTGACATAAACCTGTGGGGTCACGAAGTCAGGGGCATCTTTGGGGAGACGGAAATCGGAGAAGGCAGTCAGATACTTGGACGATACAAGCTCGGCATCTTCGTAGACGCGATAGGCGAAAGTGCCACCAATCTTGGCTTCGGCTTCGAAGAGGCGGACCTCGATAGGGGGAATGGGGTAATACTCATGAGCCTCAGAGAGGAACTTGAGAGTGGCCAGGCCAGCTGGGCCACCGCCGATGACAGCAACCTTCATGATGGTGTTGGTAGTTGCTAGTAATGATGGAAAGGTTTCCAAGAAGGATGTGTTGATGAATCTTCAAGAAGTGTTGATAGGTTCTCGAGTGTTGATGGGCTGTCAAGAAAGGTTGATGATTCCCAAAGTCGTGGTAGGGTGTGGTGTAGGTTGAGGAAGAAGGAAGAAACGAAAGAGAGGAATAGTTTCCAGAGAGATTATAAACCATGCTGGCACTGCTGTGGCAGCTGGTAGAAAAGTGAACAGGCACTGCTGGGTTCCCGTTTCATCGTGCTGTTCGATTTAACAAGAAGGCTATGGATTCCACTAGCTCTGTCACTGTTGGGAACATATGGGAATGTGGAATGTGTTTTTTTGTTTTTCGCATTAGGTAGGTAACAATGCAATGTGCGATATCAATATCGAAAAGTGAGGCTATCGCCATCTCATGCAATAGCAATACGTGCTTACATGATGCCAGCGCAGCCTCACTGCAACTGTACAACAAGTTCCGTATCCTTAGGATATTCAATTAGGTAAATATCATAAGAGATTGACTAAAGTTAGATAGGGTAGACTAACATCCTTAGCATATCTAATATCCAGTCTTAGATGAGTATCTATAACGAGACGAGACAGCATTTGCAACTGCCTTCTTGTCTTTATTGCTAGCCAGAGCCACGATTACACCTGTTCCATTTTTTCTAAGAATGACATGGACTGCTGCTATCTTGGTGAACGATCCGCCTTTCTTTTACCTTGGTCAAGTAGATGGACAGAAACGGGGTTAATCATATGCCTTACTGAAGGACCATTACAGCACACGATTGAAGCGATAGTTTCAGTGCCATCGCAATAATTTTCCAGGAGGCCCCAACCAAAGGAATCTATCAGCTATATTTAGTAATATGCACTGGGTCTATGGGTCAGCTCCCACAATTTATCACATTCCCTTTCTAATGTAATGGGTATTCAGTGAAGATCTTGAGAACTAGATGTACGAACTTCGTCGAGGATCAAAAGGACCAGTCTGCTTGCACCTATATCCACTGCGCTTCATTATGCACGTATTGCACTGTAGATTCCTGGCTTTCATCTCCATTAAGACGAAGCTGGCGCTGTTTTTCATGTGCCCAACAAAACCTTCTATCAGGCTGAATATGTGCAGCAAAGTGACCGAGTAACAGAAAAGACTATCCTGTAAGAGCTTGCGTGCTAAAATAAAGTCACCTAAGTTCCAGTATACTAGCATAAATTGACTATATTATTTCATCTCTTATGCTGTTGGCCATTTCTTCTAATACCTACGCCGAGCTCTCCTGCAGTAGAGCTGCTCTTCATGGTGGCGTTCTTCGTTTCGGCCCTACGAAGATCATGTTCGTTATTGGTCTTCACTTTGTTTTCGCTTGCCTTCTTTTATACCTCACCTGCAGGTCTGGCTTATGCAGGTGAATGTATCAGGACGATAGGGAACACAGGGAGTTTGCCCCTGGTATTACTCTCATCGTGAAGCATGCCGGCCTTGGTCAGTAGTGAATACCTTTATCTCAGATTATTATCATCTGGTCTGTTTTTTTATGTTACTTTTATCAAGGATTAATGGAGGCTGTGTTCCAGCGTCTGCACAGTGTTGGTTCCCGTTGTTCAACTGAACACACTCATCTGTTGTTCTGATACACAGGTGTTGTTCAAGTCTACTGTCGACCTACCCTAGGCAATCCAAAGCACTTGAACATTCCATTAAAGTTTGAGAATATGCTTAGAACTCCAATCATTGAGTTGAGGGGAAGCACTTTGCAACGATATCTCAACGTCATGCATGTTTAGTCGCTGCGGCAATACTTTGACCCCGGACGCACATGTTCGCCGCCTCTGTATCGGAGATTTCCGTTAGAACTCAATTGATCAGAAGCTTCTGCCAATGGAACCTTTGATCTTCTCACGTCGTCATGTTCGAACCATTGACGATCCCCAACAATTTCATGCCTCGCTGCAGCCTCAGGAGTCAAGACCGAACCTCAACCGAAGGGAAGGGGCGCTTGTCCGATGCTGCCCGCCTCGAACCTCGCTCGACATCACCAGCCTTCTAACGGTTCTCCTCCTGTAAACGAAGAGAAATGCTCCATATCTCAGAGCAAGTTAATGAGACGGACCGAACAGGTAGTCGAACGAGGTAAGATCTATTGCGAACCAGAAATCTCTCCTTGCTCGACACTTTGCAGTTCGCCTTAGCTAATCTATCCCTTCGTCCAATATACGGTCCACTAGATAGCAGTGACATTGTCATCTAATACTTAGGTAGAGAACCAAAATAAAGTAACATAAATGCTGGCCCAAGCTCACATAAAGTGCTCAAATTATTTCGTCTCTTAGGCTTTTCGCAACCAGCTTTTCTGATGATAGCCAAAGGCTCAAAACCTCGAAGCTATAAGGTTCGGTTACGCCTTTTAACGTTTGGCCTTAATCACAACAAGAGCTGAGCGTCGTTTGCTGAATCTATCTGCGGGATCTGACTATAGCTTCTGTGCGGCTCGCGTCGTGATACGACGGTCTCAAGCTCGTCTCCATGATCACGAAAGCCCCGAAGAGCCTCATGGGTCCTTTCTTCCGGATTCTCACTCTTGCTGCTGCATCTTTTACTATCATGAGGTAATTCGGACGGAGTGGCAACACAAGTGTCCATGGAATATCTGCAGACCATTGGTTAGCCATGTCGCGATCGCAATCTCAATCGTTCCATCATCAGCGGATACCAACTTACTGAACTCTGACAATGTGAACTGCTCATTGAACTCATTTCCTAGGGGAACTATTGTTCTCTCTCCGAATTGAGGTTTGATCTCAGTATCTTCGATGTCATGGAAGCCTCACTTTCCCCTCTTCTGAAGAAAGTTTGGCATATCATCGGCCCAATCTCCAAGCCTCGACGCAGCCACAGATCACGACTTGAGTTCCAACCCCTCTCACCAGCTCCGCGGAGCAACCTGGCGAGGAACGTTCTCATGAGTTGGAGATACAAAAGAACAGGATAATCTCGACCATTATGCTATCTCAACCTGATCAAGTTCGCAACTCATTCGTTACCTCTCTATTCTGCTCTCTATCAGAAAGCAGAGATGAGAACGTCCCTCTTTTACGCCCTTAACGGCGCTCTTGGGGTTGTAGCCCACGATTCGCTTGCCTACTTCAAGATAGATTCCGGCAAGGAAGAGTATCACCGCTCTCTTGACGGTTGTGGGAAGCATGGCAAGCACAAGTGGGTTCCTGACCCCTCCACCTTTGTCTTTCCTCAGCACGACTACAAGCCTGGCAACTCCTGGGATCTCTGTGTCGACTCAGCTCACTGTGCCCCTCACGAGGCTTTGAGCAAGGTCTACTTTGATTTCAAGGACAACGCCATCGTCTTCGACTTCAAGCACATCGAGCACTACAAGTACGAAGATGTCGTCGTCTACATCGAGCGTGGTAAGCCTCCTGGCGAGCACTCTCAGAAGTACAGCAAGGAGAGCGACCACTGCGTGATCCTCCACGACTACAAGCAGGCCAAGTGTCAAATCCCCTACTTCTCCCTGGCTGATGGTGGCTCATACGACGAACTTTGCCCTATCAAGGATAACGGCGGCTGGAGACTCTACATCAAGATCAAGGCCAAGATTTCTCATGGTTACAAGAAGTATGGTCTCTACAGCCGTGCTGGCGATATTCACGAGAAACACTTCACTCTCAGCTACACCTGTGCTGAATGCAAGGAGTAAGTTGATGATACTCAAGCTGTTTTCCGTATCTTGGCACTAACACTACTTAGTTACAAGCACGAGGGTAAGTACGAGCTTCTCGAGGAGGGTCATGAGAGGGAGAAGAAGTACGACGGGTACAAGGACGAGAAGAAGTACGACGAGTACAAGTACGAGAAGGGAGACAAGAAGTACTGCTCCTCAGCACATAATTTGGTTCCATAAGCTAACTTGAAACTCAGGTACAAGCGCGGCATCAAGGATTACGACGGGGAGAAGTACGATCATGAGCATCATAAGCATCACCATAAGCATTATGATCACGGTCATCATGGCTATGATCATGACGAGCATCATTACGATCATCACAATAAGCATCACGATGAGGGCTATGACCATGAGCACAAGTACAAACATCACGACCCCTACAAACATGAACATGGCAAGAATTACGAGCACGGTCATTACGATAATGAGTACAAGCACTATGATCACGGTCACCACCATGGCCACCACGGGGACTACAAGCACCACGAGCACTACGAACCCAGCCGTCATCATGATTTCAATGCCTTCCTGAACAGCTACTTTGACAAGTACGGTCACCACGATTACAACAACGGAAAGCACCACTATAAGCACCACGATGGATACAACCACCACCACGCCCGCGGTTTAGATGCTGAGGAGACCAAGAATGGTGAGAAGAGCGAAAAGCTTGAGCAAAAGTCCGAGGACGAGAACAAGCACAAGCACAAGCACCATCATCATGGCCATCACCACGATCACAAGCATGACCATCTCCACAAGCATCGCCACAGCCACTATGATTATCATCACTATGAGCATTACGATCCTGATTACTACTATCATCATGAGTACAAGCATCACGATCACAAGAACCATGGCCACAATGATTACAACAACTATGATCACAAGAACTACGACCATAAGGGCTATGATCATAAGCACCACGATCACAAGGACTACGGCCATAAGAACTACGATAACAAGGACTACGGCCATAAGGATTATGAGAACAGGCACCACGATAACAAGGACTACGGCCACCATCATGACCATCACAAGCATTATGAGCACCATGATCCTAGCTACCATCATGAAAACCACAAGTACCACGAGCACTACGATCCTGGCTACCACCATGGCCACCATAAGCACCACGATTATAAGCACGGCGACAAGTATGATCACCACCATCACTCCAAGCGATCTTCCCACCAGTATCAGCACCATGGCAAGCATCATGAAGAACCACCTGTCACGGTTTACTACAAGGAGAAGGCTGAGGATGTGAACGCCCAGGCCAACCATGTGATTTATGAGAAGGAACAGAAGCACGAGATCCCCGCCCACATCTACAAGAAGCTCGCCGAGGCTAGCAAGAAGCACCAGTACGATCATGAGAAGAAGCATGCTCACGAGCACACCCACAAGCATATTCATGAGGATCACAAGCTTGCCGAGGAGAACTATCACCAGATGAAGCTCGCTGAAGCCAAGCTCTCCCAGGCCATCGAGGAGTACTATGCCATTCGCTATGGAAAGCAGCACAACGAGGCACATGGTCACAACAAGCATGAGTACCACCACAAGAAGCCCGAGCATAAGCACTATGACGATGGTCAGTACGTTCACAAGGAGCACAAGCCTGTCCACGAGCATCACTACGGTCACTACGAGCACAAGCCTGAGCACCATCAACACCACGGTCATTACGAGCACAAGCCTGAGCACCACCAGCATCAGGGCCACTATGAGCACAAGCAGCACAAGCCTGAGCACAAGCATCACTATGGCCACCATGAGCACAAGCCTGAGAAGGGGTACTACGAGAAGAAGGAATTCGAGCATAAGAAGGAGAATGAGCATAACAAGTACAGCCATGCCGTTTACGAGCACAACAAATACGAGCCCGAGAAGCAACACTATCAGCACCATGAGCACAAGGAGTATGAGCCTTCCAAATATCATCATGCTCACCACGAGCCAGGCTACTACCACGATAAGAAGGAGTCCCACAAGCACTACAATCACGAAGATAGAAATTTCCATGTCGCTTTTGAGAAGCTCTGGAAGGAGAAGGCCAGCCATCAGCAAAAACAGAATGAGAAGTATGCGGCGGTTCACTACGAGCAGCATCCTTACAAGTACGGCCACTATTCCAAGCGCTCTGCCCTTACCGGTCACGGTGATGAGGTGGTAGAGATCGACACTGCCAAGGTTGACAAGTACATTGCGAACGCTGAGTACAGCATCAACGACGGTATCAGCAAGGCCATCTACAAGGCCATCAACTCTGCTGGCGAGGATCCCACTACCGGAACTATCATCAAGTTCTACAAGAAGGTTGAGAAGGCTATCAAGTACATCGTCTTCAAGAACCTCAAGAAGGCTGTCGACCATATCACCCACGTCGACGGTATCAGGGAGCCTGAATCCCATGAGGTAGACAAGAAGATTTACAAGGCTATTAAGCATATCCTCGAAGCTGCTGATGAGATCTTCACAAAGACCATTAATGCTCTTGGCGAAGATCCCACTGAGAAGGAGGTCGAATATGCGGTCGCCAAGGTTGAGAAGCTCCTCGCCCGGGTTGTCGACAAGTACGTTCGAGAGGCTATCATCGAAATTTTCGACTTGGAGTATATCACCGAGAATTCTTATGGCTACTATGAGAAGCACGAGAAGTACGAGAAGCGCCAGGTCCAGAACGCTACTGAGTCCGCTGTCAATGCTACTGCTACTGCCGCCAACACCACTGTCGAAGCCGCCAGCAAGAAGGAAGACCAGGCTGCTAACAGGTTCATGAGACTTTTTATGCGCCAGGATTCTCAGAACGCTACTGCTGTCAACACCACCGACAACGCGGCCAATGCTACTCTGGAAGCTGTCAACGCTACAGCGGCGAAGACCGCCAATCGTTTCATGAAATTGTTCATGCGACAGGACTCCCAGAATGCTACTGCTGTCAACGCCACTGCTGATGCTGCTAATGCTACTGAGACCCAGACTCTTATGAGATTCATGAGGCGTCAGGAGACTTCTGTCAAGAACGCTACTGAAGCTTCCATCAACGCTACCGCTCAAGCTGTCACTGATGTTGCTGAGGCTGTCAATGCTACTGTGGAGGCTGCCAATGTCACTGAGACTCAGACTCTCATGAGATTCATGAGACGCCAGGATCAGAATGCTACGGATTCTGCTGCTAATACCACCACCCAGGCCGTCGCTGATGTTGAGCAAGCTCTGAACACCACTTCTGGAACTGCTAATACTACTGAGTCTCAACACAGCAAGCGTGTTACAGTCCACGTTTACCCTGACGGCAAAATGGTCGTCGGCCAGCCAAAGATTTTCCAATGGGAGGGGGCGTACCACCCTATAAAATTTGTTGGAAAGAAGAATGACAAGCGAGATGGGGCCAAGTTCTACAACGGATACGTTCCCAAGTGCAAGGGCAATGTCGTCAAGGCCTACGGTATCGACGGTCACCACTCTGGTCCCACGAAGGAGTTTGCCCAAGATACACATCCCGGCACTTGCTATAAGCACCACGGTGAATATGTTCGCTACGGCTACCAAGAGCTTCGCAATACAGTGTACGGAAAGCTCTACGAGTCTAACGGTGGTGATAAGAAGTTTGGCAACTACTTTATCGAGTTGGCCAAGGGCCGCGACAGCTATGCCGAGGAGATTGTCGTCTCCATTGATATCCACGACAAGTATCAGTACGAGGTCAGTGAGGCTAAGGTCTATGTCGGCTGCGGGCCAGGCGAAGACGACCACTATGGAAGCAACATCTGCTCCGAGAAGACATATCCTTACGTGTCTGTTGCCGAGAAGGGACTCAACGAGTTTGTTTTTGCTTTCCCCGACATGCACCGCTGCCACGAGTACTTTTTCGTCATTGTTGTTGACTTTTGTGACAACAAGTACTCGTCCTAAGTCAGGAAACATATAAGATGCAGTAGTTGTAGCATCGCTGCGAGTTGAGGAGGGATCAGGTACGATGTTTTAATCTGTTGAAAATTGTTTCAGATAGCCATTCGTTAATAAAAGTAACCTGTCTCTTCAATGTTGTTGGAATCTGAGTGAATGTAGTATCACAAGATACTAATACCGTTGCCATGAATAAGTACCTTTGCTATTGTACAAACTTGGAGTTCCCTCGCCTTCTCTGACGCATCTAAGCTTATTGTGCAAGTGACAATCAGGACTTGATGTCGGTGAGGCTCAGCCAAGTGTAACCATCAACTACCATGTCAGCAGCTGCAAACCAGGTTTCCACTGTCTCAGCTATCTGACATGCCTCTCATCACAGAAACAATGTCCATTCAACAAAGCCCTGTCACAGGCCTCGGTGAAGCCCAAGAAGGTCACCTCAGACCAGCCATCAACCCCAGGACATCACACAGGCAAAAAGAAGCTTCTAGCAAAAGATATACAACGCTCTCGAGCCTCTAATATGCGTAATCTGGGAATCGAACCCAGGGCTCCCCGAAGTTACACCAATGGCAACGGAGAATTTTACCACTAAACCAATTACGCTGGTAAAGAAGAGAGATGCGTAATCTGGGAATCGAACCCAGGGCTCCCCGATGGCAACGGAGAATTTTACCACTAAACCAATTACGCTCGTTGATGGTTGAGATGAGGCGAACGGAAGAGCGCAGATGTTTCTCACGATGCTGGGTTGTGGTGGAGAGGAAGAAATTATGTACGGGCGGGTACGGCGTTTAAGCGAGCCAGTAAGATTGGGCTTCAAGAAAATGCTTGTGCAGGACGCTAGAGCGGTTATGGAAGTGTGTCACGTGTGCAACGGTGATTGAGAATGACGTTTGTGTTTATTCTAAACCTCAGTTAAGCTTTTCTGGAACTCTGTAAGGCCTCGTCGACGATTAAATTAAGTTCCGGTCGATTTTGTGTTTCAATCGTTTGGGCCGACTGAGCGTGTCGTATCAGCGTGACTTGGAATGTCATAGAGCCTTGAGTGATATCTGATGAAACACAATACTCTGCAGGCGATAGGTCAACTACACAGTCCAGCATGAATTGAGGCGATGAAACTGATGATCTTTAATAATAAGAATAAGAAAAACTTCACTTCAGCGCTCATCAAACGTTTCACGTTTATTTTTATCTTTATTTCTAACTCTAAACTGCGATGATCTTTACCCTATAGCTGTGCCGGGATGGACAACTGCCGGAATGTTTGTTGCGTGCGTCTTGAGTACTAAATCCTCAAACAGTAACTAACAAAGCGATTGGAGAATTCGATGACTGAAACCATTATTAAAGATTTTCATAAGTCTGTAACTTTGTCATGAAGCATCGGTGCTGCATGTTAGTTGATAGCTTCGCCTCACTAACGAAGATCACGAGTGGGTCATGGACGAAAGGCAACTTGTTTGTCCGTATTCTCCATCTACACGCGGCGTGGCAAGTCGGAGGTTTCCCCCTAAAGCGTCGGTCACCATCTCTAGCAATGCTATAGTAGATATTGAGTCTGGCATGACGCCAAGAAATTATCCAGCTCAAGTATTGGGACTTTTTAATAAGAGTTATTGGGAATTTGTCTCATAATCACAGCTCACAGACCATAATGAACCTCTTTTGGATACCGAGGAACGAGTTGACCGAGCAAAAAGCAAAAGAGGATGTTCTTTCCCCCCACGCGCCTCCAGAAAAGCTGAGACTCCTGACTCCTCCTTCCCCGAACCTGGAATAAGAATAAGAATCTTGAGGCTCCAGTAGCCAATCTTGCATGGAAGTCTCACACGTGTAGAGATCTTGAGACTCTATTGGTCAACTGCTCTACACCTCTCGAACAGTACCCGCATGACTAGACTCAATGAGAACAAGCGTCTTGCCTCTATCCACGATAAAGTTGAGCGTCTCCATTTTCGTATCCCTGTTCTTATTTTCTAGTCGAACGCATGGTACCTGTTTGATTGGTCACTTCTTCAAGGTCGCGATGCACGTTTCTCACATCCTCTGTCTATAGCGCTTTCGCCGAATGGGGGTAACAGTCGCGTGCACCGTGCATTGAGAGCATTTGACGAATCTGAAGTCTTTGTTGGACCCTCGTGTTGTTCCCTTTCTCGGTGTATCTATTTGGAAACGGATTCTTTTAATTCAAAGAGTCAATGGTAAGCTGTAATCACGGATAACCAGCAGTAACTGATCATGGTACTATGGAAGCGAAGAAACAGAACGCTTAGCCCTTCGGCTCTCTACCGATCACTCTATCTGCAAGACAAGCTAAGCTCTCGTCAACATCTTGGCCCCAGGGACTGGCTTGCAGCTTGGCATACAGTGATTAGGTCGAGGCCCCTAGTCCTCTAGCACAGCCATCGCATTCACAGCTGCATTATCGGTGACGAACTAGGAAACATGTCGTGCTTCACTCGCCCCTGCACTGTTATTCCCTCGAGGTGTCGTGTGCTCGGTCTCTTTAAACGGTCTCTGATCTGCTCACTTGCATATGCCACTGAGAGCGGCGGAAGAGAAAACGTGATCGACAGAAGTTGGGAGTTACAGACCTGCGACGTTAGCCTAGTCTGTGGAGAAGACAAGGTTAGTTTAGGCAAGACAAGGTTAAAGACTCAGACAAGCTTAATCCGTTTTCTGGTAGAGGGTATCCGCCTTGTGGAGGCTCTCGCAGAGAATACACGGAGAGCGAGGGAGTCATGGACTGGTATTCCCGTTGACAGCAGTCAACTGCAACTTGATAGTAATATATCGTGATGCCGTCCAAGGGAGTCAACAAGGCGTGTCGATAGTGTGTATGTCTTGGTGTAAGAATATCCCAGCTCTTACTGCTTTGCCTCTTTAGGTTCTCGGTCCAGGTCCTGTTGATCCAACCTCTTGGCACTCGACAGCTCCGTGGCAAGTGCCCTGTCTTTCCCGGCATCGTTTTTTCTTCGGTTTCTTGGCGATGGATCTTTTTTCTTTTTTGGTTTCTTTCTCAAAGGGGGGTGTGAGTAGCTGACAGCTTTGTACCGCTCCAACCCACACGTACCGTCTATCTCTATCTTTTTTCCCTCTGCTCCACAGAACTCTTATATATAACCATGGAATCTCTCTCATAGTTGGCTCTTTTTTCTTCAGGTCAACTCACACTCAAAACATCCTCTTCTATCCCTCCCTTCTTGAACACATACCATTCTTGCAAAGACAATCTTGTCTATTAAGCAACAATGGCTGTCTTCGCTCAGTACGACTACCTCTTCGCGGTAGGCACAATCTTTGCCTTCCTCGATGCTTGGAACATTGGTGCCAACGATGTCGCCAACTCCTGGGCTTCATCAGTCTCTTCCCGCTCTCTTAGCTACCTCCAGGCTATGCTTGGTGCCAGTGTAATGGAGTTCACTGGTGCGCTCGGTGTTGGTGGTCGAGTCGCAGACACTATCCGAACAAAGATTGTCGACGTCGAGGCTTTCAACGACAGCCCTGCTCTGCTTATGCTGGGTATGGTTTGCGCTGTTATTGCTTCTGCTAGCTACCTCACTATGGCTACCCGTCTTGGTTTCCCTGTTTCCACCACTCACTCTATCCTTGGTGGTGTCCTTGGTATGGGTGTTGGTGCTCTCGGTGGTAGTGGTATTACCTGGGTTGGCTACAGTGACAGTGGTGCCGTCGATATCCAGAAGGGTGTTGTCCAGGTTAGTATTCATTCAAGTCCTTCACTTACCTCAACTCACTAACATCTCCCCTCACAGGTCTTCCTTGCTTGGATCATCGCTCCTATGCTCTCCGGTATCTTCGCTGCCATCATCTTCACCTTCACCAAATACGCCGTCCTCCTCCGAAAGAGCCCTGCCACCCGCGGTCTCATCCTCGTCCCCTTCTACTTCTGGCTCACAGCCTCTCTCATTGTCATGCTTCTTCTCTGGAAGGGTGGTTCTTATGAGGTCAAGCTCACTGAGCAACAAATCCCCGGTGTCATTGTTGCCACCGGTGCTGGTTGGGGTCTTCTGATGGCCATCTTCCTCGTTCCCTGGATGTACCGTGTTGTCATCAAGGAGGACTGGCAGCTCAAGTCCTACCACATCCTCCAGGGCCCCTTCCTCCTCCGCCGTGGCCCTGTCCCTCCCCCTCCCGCCAACTTCCAGGGTGTTGTCCGCAACTTCTACGAGGGTCACCTTACTGCTGAGGAGCTTGAGGAGCGCCGTAACGCCAACCGCGCTGCTCTTGGTGAGGATCTCGAGACTGGCAGCGGCAAGAAGGTCGCCACCGAGTCTGCCACCGAGGAGCCCGAGGTTGAGAACCCCTACGCACACAAGTCCATGATCGGCCCCAAGCCCAACAAGCCCTGGTACACCGGCGCCTTCATCTGGTGGGCCTTCAAGTTCGCTCTCCTCCACGGTGTCGACAAGGATATTGTCAGCTCCCAGAGCGAGAAGTCTGTTGTCGCTGGTGACGTCGAGGAGATCCACGCCCGCGCTGAGCACTTCGACAACCGAACTGAGTTCCTGTACACTTTCCTCCAGATCATGACTGCTGCTGCTGCCTCTTTCGTCCACGGTGCCAACGATATCGCCAACGCTGTCGGTCCTTACGCCACCATCTACCAGATCTGGCAGGAGGGTGTCGTCCCCGCTAAGAAGTCCGAGGTTCCTGTCTGGATTCTTGCTTTCGGTGGTGTTGGTATTGTCATCGGTCTCTGGACATACGGATACAACATCATGCGCAACCTTGGTAACCGAGTCACTCTCATGTCTCCTGCCCGTGGTTTCTGTATCGAGCTTGGCTCAGTCATCACTGTCATCATGGCCACTCGTCTCAAGCTCCCTGTCTCTACCACTCAGTGTATCACTGGTGCTATCGTCGGTGTCGGTCTCTGCAACGGTGACTGGCGAGCTATCAACTGGCGCATGGTCGGATGGATCTACCTTGGTTGGTTCATCACTGTTCCTTCCGCTGGTCTGATTTCTGGAATTCTTATGGCTTTCATCACCAACGCTCCTCGATGGACTTAGAGCTTGGATTGGATTTGGATGTTTAGCGATAGAAAGTTTATGTTTGATTTAATGCGAAAAAGGTGTTTGGAATAATGCGATAGATAAATACCAACTTGATGATTACCTACCTACCTATGCTATAAGAACTGTACCACGTGACCAAGAAACTTGTATGACAGTCTCTCTCAGGTAATTTCCTTATTCTCATGCCAAGGTTATAAAATATTTGTATACTTTAGACTAATGGCTTGTCTGATTCGATTGAGCTTGAGTTGATGGGGTATATACAATTCGACTGACTGCTGTCACTACTTAATGAGCTGCAGTTTCCTTCTCCTCTAAATGTCCACCCTTGACATTCTCCTCATCAACAGTACGGTCACCAAGGCCAATTTCCGTCTCATAAAAGACATCCACAACATTCCTGTAAGCCGGGATGAAGTTGACAGCAAGAGGATACGACAAAGCCGCAACAAAGAACATCATGGGAACCACCATGGAAATTTGCATATTGTGCATATCCGCAACGGCTCCTGTCAGAGGAGGAACACAAGCACCGCCTACAACACCCGCAATGATGAAGCCACTACCTCGCTTGGTATGTCGGCCAAGGCCTCTCATACCCAGCGCCACGATGGTGGGGAAACAGATAGATTCGAAAAAGAGCACGATGTAGAGGCACGCGATGCCAGTATTTCCGCGGTGCGCGATAGGAGGAGCGATGAAGACGATACACATGACAAGGAATACCAGGAACACTTTTCGTGGTTTGATGAACTTCATGAGGAATGTTCCGAAGAATCGACCGACCGTAAATGCTGCTTGGGCGCCGGCAAATAGCTTTGCGCCTACGGATTCTGAAGTGTTGGCGCGTTCTTCAACGGCGTAGTTGATGAAGAAACTTGCGATAGCGACTTGAGCGCCAGTGTAGCAGAACTGAGCGAAGGATGCGTGGAAAAGCTTGTATTGCTTGATGAATGGTTTCTCGTCGGCCTTGGAGTGAGTTTCTTGAGCTTGGAATGCCATATCTGAGAGCTGTTAGCAGAGTTTTGCCAGTTATCAGGTGTAAACATACCAGCATCGGTGATCTCAGGAATCTTGGACACGTAAAACAGGCACGCCAGAATCAAAACGAAGACAGCGATTGAAAGGTAAACCCATTGCACGTTGGCCAGGGCCGCATCGTCGTCGAGGTTGTTGAAAAAGACATAAGAACCGAGCACAGGGGCGATGACTGTGCCGATACCGTTGAAGGCTTGAGAAATGTTGATGCGAATTTCCGAGTATCGAGGAGGACCACAGACTATGAACGTCAGAGATATGTATGCTATATGTGATGGACCGACTTACCGGTGATGAAAGGGTTGGCAGCTGTCTCAAGCGAACCAAGTCCATTACCGATAATGAAAATGGACATGCAGAAGCCAGCGAACGACTTGGCCTTGATACATGGGATAGCAATCAATGCACCGACAGCGTATAAGCAAAGACCCCAGATGAAAACCGCCTTGTACGAGTAATGACGGAGAATCCACGCAGCGTGTCCCAGTGAAGCAAGAGGATAGGCACTTGAACAAGTCAGTATTCATCAGAACAAGAAACAGTGAATGTCACGTACCCGAAATACGCAGCTTGAAGACCAGCAGATCGTGCACGATCAATATCGAGAACCTTTTGGAAATGCTTGTTCAAGGTGTCGAGAAGGCCATAACTGAAACCCCAGAGAAAGAAGAGGACGGTCACAAGAGCGATAGGCCAGATGGATTCTCGTAGGGTGAGTTCAGCTGCTTTGGTGACTTTGCTGTCCTTGACCTTTAGAGGGCGATCTTTGAAGAACTGTTTGACGCCCATGATGAACGATTATGATGATAGCATAGGCAGAGTTGATGAGAGGTTGAGAAGGCTGAGGGGAAGGTAGGGAAGGGGAAGGTTATACTATTAATTGATCCCCTCATCTCACAGGACGATCCCTGACATGGCACTGCACTGCAATCATGTTGCCATCGGTTGGTCTAAACCCGACCCGAGGCAGCATTCAAGGCCAAGGCCAAGGTCAAGGGGTGACACTTTGACCGTCATAGAAACACAGACAAAGTCATATCTCCCAATGTAACCCCATGGGGAGATAGCGAAAAGAGTAAGTCTCCACCAAAGTTAGTGTTGGAGAAGGAGTAAAAAAAAACCTGGGGATTGCGGGGGAGACAACCTGAATTGGTTAGAAGAATGATGATCTGCGTAGGCACATGAATCAGGTTTCTGATCTATCGTTGCAAAGATAAACCGAATAGGATGGCTTCTAAGCAGATGCAGTAAGATACATTTTAAGGGAGATTATCATTTGATGTTGAAGTAACTTAGCTATTGTACAAGTCTAAAGCTAAAGCCTGGTAAACCTTCAAGACATGTACCCTTGTTGACCAACACGGCAATTGTAGTGCAAATCGGTACTACACCTCGGCAATTAAACTCTCATGATTCGATTTTCTAGACTCATCACAGTTTGTTCGTTCTACTTTACATGCGGGGAAAATGAAACCGCGAGCGAAACCTAAACCACGTCCGAGCACGTTCGTGGTGCGTGATAGGCACGCTTTATCCTCCTTGAATTACATGCATATCGATGCTTGAATCCGCCTTCTTATTCAGGACATCTTTTTGCTGATCACTGCTACGTAACATGCATGGAGATTGGGCTGTCATACTCTCAATGGTCTGTCTACTGTATTTAACCGGAGGATGATCAACATTGCATCGTATTCTGGATAACACTAGAACACGAATATTAAGGACTGTTCTAAATGTGGTTATATAAATGAACTCTTCGTAAGGGGTGTTGGTTCCTTGAACATCCCTTTGTTCGCTTGGCTGAACTGCTGAGTAACATAACGATTGTTTTCTTGAGCTTAAGGTGCTAGAATAAGGTAGCCTAAAAGCTTATCTAAATTGGCATAAGGTGATGTTCTCGACGGCCCATGCTTAGACCTGATACCTTGACGCGGCACAAGCTTCAAGTACTAATTTATCTCAGGGGAAAGCTAATGATAGTTGAAGACTCAGCTTCAGCTGACTCGAAAGATAACGCCATACTAGGGGAACTCTACTGACCTGTCATCGCTATCCTTTGAATACACTTCAACCTCTGAGAGATGATTAGCTACTATACCATAGGAATCTAATCTAAATCGAGAGACTTTTGTGCTATCAAAAGGAACAACAAAGGAGACTGCCCTTAGGATAGTGTCTCTTTATGGGCGATTCGGTCTTCAACGACATTAACCCCTTCCAGCAGATCAAGTCAGATCAGTAGAAGTGGCCCATAGCAAAAACATCGTAAATGCTCTTGTTCATTCTTAGCACCGACTTCATTAGCTTAGAACAAGCCCATCTGCTCGTACAACACAAAGTTATCTGGCACGGCCATGAGCATTGTGAACTCAAGAACAAGATGCATGTTAGACCCAGTGACCGTTCGTGATTAGCATATAGTCTCCCATCTTTCTTCGTCTTTCTCAGCCTTCAACCATCGTCTCCCTCTCTCACTCTTCTCATCGGTAAGTTCACCTCAAATCAACACTACCCTCATCGCCAACATGTCTTCTGGTAACAACCCAGCGAACGGCCGAGCAAATGGCCCAACTAACGCTCCAGCTAACAACCAAGCAAATGGTACAGCCAACACTTCAGCCAACACCTCAGCCAACGGCCCAGCTAACGGCCCAGCTAACATCCCACTTCGCACTCGAACTGACATCCCAACTGTCACCATGGACACTGCAAAGGTCCAAGGTGCCCTGATCCTCCTGCACATGGACAACCCCAGCGCTGTCCGCCGACTCTATGTTGGCCCTCAAGACGTCCTACCTCTCGTTCATTACGGCGAGGCTGCCCACACCCTCACGACCTTGGCTGATCCCACGACTGCTCCGACTTCCGGCCAATGCACCGGCTGCAATGAGCAGAAGTGTTTCACTTGCGGTCGTTGTGGCTGTCTCAACTTTCAATCTGGCACCGTGTACGCTCCTACTTCGTTCTGCCGTAACGATCAGTCTGACCCCATGTCTGCTCAGACTCGAAGCCGATGCGAGGGCTGTAACCAGCAGAAATGCCTGACATGCGACCACTGTGGCTGCCGTAACTACCAGTAAAGGAATTATCGTAGACGAATATCAGACTGTTGACCTCTCAAGATGAGACAGAAGGTAAGGAAGTCACCATAGGCACCAGGTCTATTAAATAGGTGATATGCAAGTATGTAAGCAAATAAAGTCTTTTAGTGCACGCTGTGTCAATAGCACAAGTGATTCTACCTCCATATCTTCCCATTCCTTAAGTTCCGTTCGCTCTTCTTCCACCTCTAGTACTTCTAGTAACGTGCCTCGTGAGAACCTTTCTTGTCTCGACCAAACTCCTCTTGTTCTTGCTCTTCGCCTTGCCCAGTGTCATAAAGATGTTCTTGTTGCGCTGCTTCTCCCTGTTGCTGGTACTCTTGCCCTGAGCCTGCATCTTGGACTTGCGGATAGCCTGTGTACTCTTGTGCTCGTCGCGGTCGGGCTTGCCCTCCTTGGCAAGTTCCGCACGCTCCTCCTTGGTCAGCTTGCGCAGACGGGCGGGAGCCTCGATCTGCTCGGCTGTGAGACCATCATCGCGGTGGCGGTTTTCAAGCTCTTGCTGGCGCTTGCGACGGCTGCCCATGGCCTTGTCGACTTGGGAGGACATGCGGAGTTCTTGAAGCTTGGCGAGATCGGCGGGTGTGAGAATGGTTGTTGTGGCGAGCTTGGAGATGCGGTCGATCTCGGCCTCCTTCTCCTCCAGGGCTTTCTTAGCCCTCTCGTCCGCAGCAATATCTGCCTCTGTTTTTTGCTTCTTTGCTGCAGGCTCGTCCTCGTCGTCCTCTTCATCAGAGGAGTGGTACACATTAATCCACTCGCCAGAATCACTGCTGTCATCAGAGTCGACTTCCCACTCATCAGACTTGTTTCCTTCGTCCTCTTCATCGGTAGCAGCGTCCTCGGGAAGACCCATAGCAAGTCGCTTCTTCTTCTTTTCCTCATCCTTCCACTTCTCCAGAAGATCCAGACCCTCAATACCGCCAGCTTCCTCTTCACCGAACTTGCGCTGAGCCTGAATTCCGGCTTTCAGGTTGATGGTGGCATTCTTACCACGGTCTCGCTTCTTCAAAAGCTCAGCACCGACCTCTCGGTACAGTGACAAAAGACCCTTGGCAGCCATCATGACACCCTTATCTTTACTCTTTCGGTATTGGACCAAATCTTGTAATAGTGTATCGGTCATAGCTAGAGGTTGACGAGCGCAAATCTCACGAATCGAGTTCAGACCAGCAGCGGCGACTTCATTGGCGGAAGCTTCTGAAACGAACTCGTTGGCAATCTTTGTGATCAAAGGCTCCAAAACATCCGGAGGAACCAAGTTGTGGACTGCCTGTGCCAAGGAAGCCAGGAATGATGTGACGGAAGTTTGCTTGGGAGTAAGGAACTTGATGAACCAAGAGTAGAGCGCAACAATGGTCAACTTGTGCAGACCAACAAGTCGTGTTACCAATTGTGTCACCAGAATCTTGGTGTCAAGAGAAAGCTTCGCCTTGGTGTTTTGTAGATGTTTTGAGAAGAGCTCTTCGGCAAAGCTCTGAGGATCGTGAAGGAGGTGCAGAGCTGAGAAGTTGAGCGGGTGAGGCTTGGTCTTCTTACGCTCAGATCGCTTCACCTTGTCGACGGCCTTGTCATAAGCCTTCTTGGACTTCTTAGTCTTCTTGTTGATACCCATCTGATGCTTGACCTGACTCAGATCAACCTCCTCATCACTGCTCTCGTCTTCGAGCTCCTCTCGCTCCTTGTCTCCACCGAGGAAGAAGCGAACAGCGCCGACAACGACCTTCTCGTTGTTGGACAGACAAGCCTCCTTCATAACATCGACAGGCTTCGCATCGGTCCAGAATTGTCGCTTCCACATCTCGCGGGTAAGCTTGATGGCCCAGATAGCTCGAGGAGAGTCTCGGTCGGCGGTGATGAGGTTGTAAAGGACGGTCTGGACGGTACGGTTGAGAGGGTGGTTGATGGACTTGGTGTTGGAGTTTCGGAGATCGGCCAAAATCTTCTGGAACAGAGTCTCACGTAGAGTCTTGCTCGGCGACGAAACGAGAATCGGGAAAAGTGTGGTCAGAACGCTTGTCGAGTCGATAACCTCCTTTCGTCGGAGCAGAACTAGACTTCCCACAATCTTCTCGCGCAACTCAGGATGTAGAACAACATGGTGTTGTGTCAGAATCTCCTTGAGGTCGTCGGGGAAAGTTGCGGTCTCCTCCTTGTAGCAATCGGCGACGTGAGCGATCAGATCGATAATGTTGTGGAAAGACTCGACCGAATCGGCGCTTGCGGTGGACGGAGAAACGAGGAAAATCTCGCGCTGAGCTTCATACTGTTCCCATTGTTTTAGGAATTCTTCCTTGTAAGATCTAATGTCTCGTTAGCGATAATTAGGTTTATCGAAAAAGTAGGTGACATACTTGGGATCGCGACGGATTTTCTGCTGAAGACTCGCGCTGCATAATCGTCAGTTTCTGGTTCAAAGAAGTATAAATGGCATCGCAATTGACATACAAGTCAGCATCGATCTTCTCGAGCGCAGCGACCTTTCGTTTGACCATTGCGACGTCGATACCCTTCACTTTTTAAGGTGGTCTTGTTAAGCGGGAGGGTGGGGGATGGTCCCTTTGAACTTTGTCTAGAAAAAGAGAAAATTTGGGAGATTTTCTTTGGCTGATAAGATAAGATCATCCACCCGCGGAATTGAGCCGCCAGTCTAGCCTGGATCTAAAGCTTGGCAAGACAACCCGTATAAGTTCTTCTTTATCAGAAACATACCTAAGAGATGAAATAATTTCTTCACTTTATGGAATTTAGGCTAGAATTTAGGCTGCACTATTTTAGCGCCCTAAGCCTTAGAGTATGAGTTAGAGGAGTCTTTGCATCATTTCCTGTGAATACCCTCAAACTTGACGGAGTGAAATGTACTCCCGAAATACGAAAACCTTCCTTCGTTCCCCTTCAAGCAACCTGTGTTTGACTAGAGCTTATGGGTCTTGTCTTACGAAACAAGGTACCGTGTTCCAACCAATGCATCATGATATCATACATCAAGTTGTTGATACTGCTCGAGTGCTTTTCCTCATTTCCTTGCCTAGACCTCAGGGCTCTAGAGGACACCTTGCGCATCTTTATCAACACAGCTTTGACGTACTGCGTTATGAGATATGAAGTTAAGACATACGCATATATGCTGAGAACCGGAAGAATCATCGCATAAGGCTTAGGATATTATCATAATGTAGCCTAAGTGCAAGTCTAAACTAACATAAAGTAACTAAATTATTTCGTCTCATGCTGATAGGGCCAATTTTTCTGATACCATCGAAATGGGTAAAAGCTTTACCAACGGGATGGTCTTGTATTTGGAGTCGTCCAGGGTATCGTTCTTCGACCAACTGATTGCGACGTTGATACGAATGTCAAAAGGGTTATCCTCAACGCTTTGGAAAGAGTAGAAATCGACATCCTTCCACATGAGACACATGTGCTTCGGTCTCGCCGGGTTGAGTACGAACTCTCCTCCCCGCCCGCATGTATCAACAATGAGCATCAGGTATAGCGTCAAGTTCAATACCTGTCGCATGTTTCCGAAAATATTCAGATATTGCGCATGAGAGAGCCTGGATACGATGTAGGTGACGTCTTCGGAATTTGCTTGCAGCTTGGGCTTCATTGCTGTCAACAGCCCTTCCTGTGTAAGAAGGTTGTTGGAGACAAACAATGCAAAGCTGTGGCGTAGCACAGGATTCCATTGTCGTTCCGAGTCTCTTTCCATGGCGGTAAGGCAAGTGTTGATATAGCCGATCACAGTTTTGACCGCCAGAGCTCCCCCAGATTCTCCAACTCGTGAGCGTGCAAGGTACCTGGCATACTCTTGAATGAGGATGCGATCGGGCTCCTGGCAGCCAGGTTGGAAATAAGCGTCTTCAGCTTGAATCTCAGGGTGTTGGTCTTCCATAAACTCAATAAACCATTTTTCTTTTGCAAACTTCAAGATTTGTTCATAAGTGTGTGATAATATCCTCTGGGGTAGGACTTCATTCTGTGCCTTTTATGTTTCCAGCTCTTCTAGTATCAAGTTTGCTTGGGCTTCGGCAGACAAACGTGGAATCAAGAGCCGTTGGCCCGTTCTCAAGACATGGCTGAGAAGAGGTTGTTGGGGCGTCGTACTATGAACCAAGACACGGACTGCTTGGTCTTCTTCGTGGATGTACTTCGCAGTCGGGGTGCCAGTGAAGTGATCTCGATATTCATCTGCGTCAATCTTTTTCTTGTGAATGTCGACATGTGGTCGTCGTCGTATTGTGTAATTAGTGGATCTTTAGCTTCCCGAGCTTTGGCAATGCTTGGGTAAACCTGGAGGATGTTGGGGCGAAGAGATGCGGGCGTTGCATCCTCTTTTTGAACGCCACGAGTGTCGTACCTTCTGGCGATAGCGACGAAGGCGTATCATCATTGCGATTCAAGAGAATGCTTCCCTGTGGGAAGGCTGATGCTTGATCCAATCCACGGAACATGGATGGGAAGTCGACCGTAGATATCCTTGACTGATAGTGTTTCGCAGAAGTGTTACTTGCAGAGGAAAGTGCTATGAGGAAGCGTCGCAAGTCATCACTTCCATACGTTCGTTGTCATGACGTAGGCTGTATCACAGAGCAAGCAGTAGACCATAAGCGTGATCTCAATGCCACAAGACTGACCAAGCTGTGTAGTCTGAGGGTTCGAATCAACCATTTCGACTGCGCTTTTTGTCAATTTGTGGCGGTCCTTCCCTCCGAGCACAGAAACATTAAGTATGCCTTGATTAAGCGGGATGCGGTGGCCCGTCTTGGCCTCAGTGAGAGGCAACCTGATTCTCGACAGATATGTCCAGGTCTTGATTCCATCTCCAATGATGCCATGCATCAAAGCTGTGTTGATGAGGATGCGCAAAAATCGTTGTAGCGATTCAGTCTTCGTCATCAGGATGTCAGAAGAAAAGCCTAAGAGAGCCTAAAAGACGAAATAACTCGGTTACTTTATGTTAATTTAGACTAGCACTTAGGCTGCTTTATAATATTAGCCTTACCGTAGAGGACAATTCTTCTGTTACCCACCTGCAAGAACAGGAGATATAACAATCATAATATCATACGACAGAATGTTGATAGTGTTTACCTGCTTTTTCTCCATTTCCTTGCGGAGGTCGGCAAACTCAAGCAGAGATATATGCGCACCTACTTAAGGCACTGATAGCCACATTTGCTCTTGCAGACTGAGCTTAAGGGCCTCGATGTTAGCCGCTCGCCTGAGAGGAGCTGTTTGAGTTTTGATGAACCAGAAATCTCGGTATGGGCAACAGACATGTAAGCTCAAGTATATGTCGGTCTCAAGGTTGCGAAGGAGTTGGAGCACCTTCATACACTCTTCGAAATAGTCGCGTGCTCCTAGCTCGAATCCATGCGGAAGATTGATGGGCTTGCATTTGTCAAGACTTGGCCCCTTCTCGAAGCCCTCTTTATGAAAAGGCACAAGCTCGATTGCAATGACCGGTCTCTTTCCATCTTCAACAACCAGATTCTTGACCGTACCAATAAACCGTTGCAGTGATTCAGTCCTCATCTTCAGGGTCTCAGAAGAAAGGAATAAGTAAGCCTAAGAGACGAAATGTTTTAGACACTTTATGCCACCTTAGACCAGATCTTAGGCTACTTTGTTCTAGCGCCCTAAGCTTTCGAGCATGTTCTTTCTATTACCGGGCTACCTGATCTTATACATGATAACATACAGCGGGCAGATAGCCGCGAGGTATGCAACTCGGTGGCCGCTGCCGCATTGGAGCCAGGGTACGAGTTAATCCATTCTTCGAAATAGTCTTGTGCTCCAAGTTCCGATCCATGTTGCCCGATGTGCGGTTTAGATAGACACTGTTCTTCTGCTCGCTCAAAACCGTCCTTGTGGAATAACCTCAAATCGATTGCGAGGACTGGGATCTCGTTCTGCTCGGGTTGGTTCTCACGGTATTTGGCAGCGTCGGTCGCTACCCATTTCGCAGTGTCGACAAATTGCTGGAATGATTCTAGTCTCTTGAATGGAAAAACATATTCGAAGCAGATAGCTGCGAAATATCCGACTCTGTATCCACCGCCTCATTGCATCCAGGGTACGACCTCCGGGTCAAATATGACCATCGTGCTGTCTTCTTTAGGTAAACACCGCTTTCGCGATCGTTGGAACGTGGTCTGCGGTTCGGTTTCCATAATCTCATCATCAGCCTCGACCGCAACGATAGCAAGATTGGCACTGCAGATGTATAGCTGTTCAACGATCACATTGGTCATGAAGACCTTTCTTGCCGCCTCTTCGCTTGCTGGTATATGGACCAGCTTCTGTCTTTTCGGTCACTGTTGATTATGTTAGATTAGACTCAACGTATGATATCAGAAACATTCCCTCACACTTGAGCATCTTCAATGTCTTCTGTTTCTTCTGTCGCAGTTTGGCTCTCTCCAAATTGTTCCTGGAGCTTTGCGCCTCCCCAATCCCCCGCCATTTGAACCAGATTGGAGGCCCCACAATTTGGTACTGGTTGTTCCAACCCTCTGTCAAAGAATATCATTCTGAAGAGTTGGAAACAGTGACCTCCATGCATACGAGACTGGCTAGTGTGACAGTGAGATCATGCTTTTGGGAGCCCTAGAGCTTTTGCCTGGCCCAGTCTCGACATTTGAACCGCAACATCAGAGTTGCATGATGGTTTCGGGTCCCCAAGGTCCTCCTCAGTTACCAGTCCAAGGGTTTCGCGGCACCAGGACTTGAAAATAAACTGTCGTACCAAGTCTTTGTGTTTTCTGGCGTGAGGTACGATAGCTTTGTCAAAAGGTTTGTTGTGATTACTTGTGTCTGAAGATTGAACCCGTCACCAACACTCAAGATTGCCGGCGCCCCTCTTGGTGGAGGTGGGAATGCAGCAGGTAGTTGGTGATAATTTTTGGACCTTCGCAGTTAGTGGTTCCAAGTCGAACATAGGTATATCTTGATCTTCTTCCATAGCGGCGGCCGCTGGCAGAGTAAATAGGCTGTTGGGGAGATATCACTATTAGCTTGGCATTATAGGTGCGAGAAGGAGAAAATAGACCTGTAGATGCAAAATAATTTAAACGAAACTCAAGGATGTGTTCGAGAGGCGCAATGCGCAAACCGGCAGCTTCATGTACGGGTGGCAGAGGGGAGGGGAGATGATAAAAGGAGAGAGGATATACTAGAGGAGGTAGGTAGTTGAATAGAGGAAGCGGAAGTAATGTGCAGTCAAGAGGATGCGTGATTTAGAGCTGACCATAACTCAAGGCTAACAACAGCAAGGTATTCAAATGAGAAGTGAGGTAACAAGAACAGGATGATGCGGAGGTATGAGAAAGAGGAAGAGAGGATGCCACCATTAAACACTTGCATGGAGTGACCGACAGTGCCTTTCGGCAGAGTCAAGGAGATGTGTGGTTCAGAATTGCAAGACGTGTTTGAAAGTTTCAATGGAAGGGAAGAATAGGCACAGGTCACTCGATATTGTAGAATTAGGCAGAGATTATGCCTTTCAGTGACGTGCAAGTGAAGTTTAGGAGTTTGCAAAATCTATCAGGAGTTGGCACTTGTTGACAGTGAATCATCCTAAGATTAACAGCTCGAATTTGGCCATAGAATCCTAAATTTAGGGTCTGAACTCTACAGCTATATCTAGCGCCTCTTTCTCTGCCTTTTATTCTTCTCCTCTTCTTCTCCTTACTCTCTTTCTCCCACAACACCTCCCGCCCGCACATTTTCAACGCCCTGCCTTCAACTGCCGGCGGTGCTTGATATTTGCCTTTATTTCTTTCTTCCCTTCTCTATTTTATACTCTCTTGATCATATTCCGTCATCAGCATCTCCCTCACGCGCATCTCGATTCCCAGATGCAAACTGCCTAAGGTGCTCAACCTTGCGGCCAGAATACGTCTTTGCCCTGCTTCTTGTCTTTCCATTTCTTTACACACTTCATCTCGCTGGACGCTGTCCTTTTTCACTCGCAGATCATGTCTGACTCCACCAGAGATAAGGGACTTTCCCTTACGGAAGAGCTGAAAGCCATATTGGCGAACCTCGAGGCAGCAGGCCCTCCACAGATCGATCCGACGTCAACAGTATGGCCCTTTGTATGGTCTAACATCGAACCTAACCCTCGCTGTTGGGCTGTACCACCACCAGATGGTACAGTCGCCGGGCCCTCTCCAAGTCACAAAGGAGACGACAGTGGTGAGGGTTCTGATAGTGAATACGCCGGTTCCGATTCCGATTCCGACGAAGAGAGCGACTTCACCTTTCAGTTCAACGAGGAGAAATTCCTTTTGTTCCTTAAAAGGCTTCATCCTCATATCGTAAGTATCAAATCTAATGGCCAATAACCAAAATCTAACGACACTACAACTAGGTTGCTAAACTACGCGCACCACCAATTGGCGATATCCCAGATCTGAGGCCAGGTATCACGCTGCAAGAGCATCAGAAGCATGCTGTCGGCAAGGCCGAGTTCGCGATGAACTCACAGTTTAAGGGGATGATACTCGGAGATCCTCCTGGTCTTGGAAAGACCTTGTCGGCTCTATCCATCATCGCCCGCACCTCCCATGTTGGATGCGGTCCATCAATCATTGTTGCGCCGTTTTCATGCTGTCAACACTGGATGGAGGAAATCAAGAAGTTCTTCAACGATGTATGTCACCAACTACCTTGTTATATTATATCGCTTGCTGATACTATCTGCAGGATAGTATGCCTGCCTTCTGCCTCGCTTATGAGAATGCTACTGTGCATGAAATCTTTCGCTATAAGATCATTGTGACATCTTACGAACAAGTCTCCGCTGAACTCAGCCGCCTCCGTCGATTCTCGAAGGGGATGATGGCGTACCACAAAGGCCGGTTAGCCAAAGAAGACCTTCCCAAGCGGCCAACGGTTACCTTACTTTCGGGAATATTCGGTCTCCCGGGCGTGAAACCTCTGGGTCCTCTACTGATTTTAGATGACGCCCATTGTATCAAAAACTACAACAGCCGCACGTACTCCGCCATCTACAAGCTTAGGCAGAGCTTAGATACTTGCATCATGATGTCTGGAACACCGCTCGACGATGCTTGGTTAGATGCGTATGCTCTATTATCACTTCTCCGGGGCCACAACCTCGCCTCTCCCGACGCTATGGCACTCGCATTCACAGGGCATAAGGAGTTCTTGAAGTGCAAAGAAGGAGGGTTGCCTACCCTAACCGATGAGAAGATTCCTAGAATGGTCCAGATGATGGACGCTGTCCTACTCCGGCGCCCGATTACCATCAATAACCTGCCGCCGCTGAACTACAAACTATGGCAGTACGGACACAAGACGGACAGCACTGAACTCTCAAACGAATCTCTATCCCAGTTCCTCCAGGAAAGGAAGGCGAAGAGGTTCGAGCATGCTATCTCCCACTTTGTCAAAGCCAGGCACTATGCGTATCACCCCATGCTGAGCCAATTGCATGATATCGAGGAACCCATTCATCTTGCTTCATGGACACGAAATGAGACAGCCGACGAGAGCTTGTTGAGTCAAGATAAACAAAGATTGGCACAATGGTACCAGGAGCTCAACGAAGGACGCAACTGGGAATCTACGCGGACCGTTTGCTTGATGGGTCTCGTTACACAGCACCTTGATGCCAACCCAGACGACGCCATGGTCATTATGGACGAGAGCGTGTTCTTTTTGGACATCGTTCAAGTGGCTATCAGCAAGAGTTTTCCAGCAAATGGGGACAAGCCTATCTTCCGATACGATGGGCGTGTGAGTACAGATGAACGAGAAGCGGTCTTAAGAAGGCTCAACACAGCAACAGGCCCACGGTTTCTTTTGGTCAGTCGTGGAACAGGCTGTCAAGGCCTGAACCTACAGAGCGCCAACGTGCTAATCCGCTGCGGCCCGTGGTTGAGGGTCTCCTGGGAGCAGCAGGCGCAAGGAAGAATTTATCGGTTCGGACAAAACAAGCCAACATTCGTGTATGAGCTCTCCGATAAGTGCTGCAAATTCGACAAGTGCCTTCGTACTGTAAGGGACCGGAAGGATCAAGTTATCGGCCGCATCTTAGACGCGATCACTCATGACGACGACAGACATGAGCCCTCCGAGAGAGAGGTTGTTTAATGCCTCCAGCTACAGAAGGGTCTTTGAACTTAGTATCTACGTGCTTGACTTTGCTATAGGCTGGACAATAAGGGAGGGCAATTCGGTACTGAAGGCTGTTCTTAACAGCTATCCTACATCCAGCCCTTAAGGGCAAGAGGGACTGGACAAATGGTTATATTTTGGACGAAATCACATGTAGCTAGCAGGAAAGGGGTTTAGGGCAGCCTCCAATTTCAGTACCTCAGTGCTTGATGTTAGCCTAGAGGCTGAAGGATTGGGAGGGAATTTGACACTGAAGATCATTGCTCTAAACTAGCTATTACACTGAAAATCCAATGCTACAGACTCAGAACAGTGATGGTTCCGGAACAATGGAGGAACATACTACTCTATATGTGTAAGAGCGAAAGTTGCTCTGGATGAATATGAACGCCTCGCCTATCCTTTTCAGTTCCTGATACGACCGATAGCATTGGGTTCCCATCCTTGCAACTGGCCTGTATCGTCTCAAATTGCATATGAGAGTCCCTACTGGGGAGAGTATTATCTAAATCGAGTATAGTTCAGATCAGAGGTACGTAGCGGGATCGTCCCTTGGTGAAGACTGATTTACCCCTGACGTACATGATCGTTGAAATAAGCTTAATGTATTTATAGATGAAAGTCCAAACCTTTCGATAAGTTGCTGTGAGATCGCATCCCTATACGATCTCGAAGTCCAAGTCGAGATCATCCTTATCCATAGTCACAATTAGACCTAGCATGGACCGCGACGAACAGAAGCGTTTGGCCGCCGGATCAAGATCGGCATGTGTTCTTCAATTGGTAGGACACTACTAGATAAAATGAATGAGTAGATGATTGAAACAACTTGTGGTTTTTGGTGTTGGTGTTAGTCGACTGGGCTACATCACATCTCGAACTCATCTCGCACAACACAGCTTATGGACAATATTCCAAGAATTGAGGGGAAAGCAAATCGTAAATGGCATCCCTGCGCCTTAAGTTGAACATTAATCTATCATGGTGTTTTACAAAAATGGCTCGCAAAGTGCAACCAAAGACCTGGAAGTGATTATCTCCCATTCACCCTTTGCACCTAGTAACTAAGAAAAGGTTAGTTCAGACCACCCGATATGGAAATTTTGGATGACTAACCTTTTTGGATTACTATTCTTTTCCCCAGACATCGTCAAAACTCCGTTTAAGCAGCGATTTCTACACCACCAGTAGCTCCCATGGCCTGGGACGATTAGCATCTTGTGAAACAGCATCAGGAGAACATCATGAGCAACTTACTTTCTTAAGGTCGCCGTAAATTGCAAATTGTCCGGCAGTGAGAGTTCCGACCATGAAGAGACGGGCACCGATACCAGAGTAGGATCCACGGATACCGAGCTCCTTACCGATCTTGACGAGACGAGAGACAGTTCCCTCACCAGGAAGACCCTGGGTCTTGTTGATCTTGGAGAGCATAGTGTCGGCAGGCTGAGAGACAATGGCGGCGGCGAAACCAGCAATCAGACCAGAGCCAAGGTTGGCAACGGTCTGCATACCGTCGGAGAGGTCCTTCTTAGGGAAAGCACGGAAGACAGCCTCAGAGACCTTCTCGAAGACGACGAACTTGGCCATGGTGTAGGGGATCCTGGAAAGTGTCAGTTTGTTGGTCAATTAATGACTGAGCAAGTAACTTACTGCTTGAAGAGAATGGGTCCGAAACCGGCGTAGAGAGCACCGAAACCCTCGTTCTTGACAATCTTGCCGAAACCAGAGACGAGACCGCTGGCGTAGGTGGGCTCAGAGACGAGACGGATACGGGTGGCCTCAAGGGGGCAGAGGGCGATATCGGCGAAGAACTCAGCAGTGGCGGAAGAGGCAAGGTAGACAGCAGTTCGGTTCTTGGAGGCGGTCTCGTAGCCGAGAGCATCAATCCACTGCTGCTTGAAGAACTCGTAACCACCGAACTTCAGAGCACCCTGGAGGAAGTAACCGGCGAAGGTAGGACCGACACCAGTGAGGAGAGCACCAGCACCCTCATTCTGGACAACCTGGCGGAAACCACCAATGAGACCGCGGTTGTAGGTAGCGGGGTCGAGCTGGATACGGGTCTTGACGCTGTAGAATTTATTGTTAGTTGCTTTTTTCTTTCGGTCAATGGAGTGCGCGTATGGTTTTCGGTTATTGCTCAAGGTTTGGTGCGTTGATATGTGGCCGATTGGTGTCCCTCTCGGCTGGCGCACCGCAACACCACCTCTGAAGCAATTGACGACGAAAGACTCAGCGCATAGGCGATTGGAACATACACATCGACGGGGGTGAGACCACCGTGGGTGACGGAACAGCAGACAGCACCGGCAAGGGCGAATCGGGAGTAGAGGGCGAGGCCAGACTTCTTCTCGGGGGTCTCAGCCTTGATGTTCTGGACGACGGCGTCGACCTTGGTGGATCCGGTAGAGGCAGCCATTGTGAAAGATTTGTTGTTCTTCAGACAAAGGACTGAGGGGAGATTTGTTGTTGGTTACGGGAGAGAAAGAGAAGGGGGGAAAAGAAAAACTCTTGGTGTTTGACGTTTGAGCTCTTTTTTTTTTAGTCTCAGCGGGCTGCGGCAGGGAATGGAAAAATAATGCCTCCTTGGATTTTCACACAGCTCGGGAAGACTCGGATAATCGGCGCCGGCGACTGCACGGACCGGGCCAAGGGGAAAAGATGCTACCTGTTAGGTAACACCTCAGGGCGTTTCTGGCTTTTACAGCGCTGTACATTCACTGAAGCTTCCACCATGGCTCCATATCTGAGATCCACTAGACCCGGGGTAAACAGGACAAATTGGGGATGTACCCTGTTAGCCGCAAGGCCTGTGACGTTATCTTTTGAGGAAAAGACCGCTCTTCTATTCTATTGTAGAGATTCTAACTGGCTGGATATGATTGTCTAGATAGACTGAAATATCAATCATGATAAACTCACTGATATCACCCATTTCACCCAAGTCCTCTCTCATCAGTCACTTTTTCTATACTATCATTCACTAATTTAACTCATCTAAAATGCCAGATCTTGCAATCTCACACACTGGTCTCCCCGAGAATTCCTCGGACAGACCCACCATTCACTAACCGTCCTTCGCGAACGTGTCCATGGCATTGGCTGGATACAAGACAAGGCAGGTTTTTTCTTTCTTGTTCCTTGCGGTTTCTCTTATTGCCGGCCCGACCAATGGATACTGCGCGATAAGCATGTCTTGACTCGGTGTCGGAGGTTAAGTCTTCATGACAGTGTTTGTTTTTAAAGTCCGACGTCATACCCCTTCAAGTTTGTCATGAACTGAATCAGTTGGTAACTGAATAATGCTCTGAGAAGTTTTCAATAGTGAATATAGTTTTTACTGAAAGTTTGTGCCTGGCAGCCACTTCGGTATGTACCCGGCTGCCCTTATAGGCGCATCTGAGATCAATCGCCGATTTATCACCCTAAAGCCGACGATGAAAGTGAAACCCCCACCCACTCTGGTTGGCCAAGCATCCATGTTGCATCATATTGTCTTCTTATCTTATCTTGATAAGCCTGCCACTTAAACAGCTGTTATCTGAACCGAAGGGTGTCAGAAATAGCTTCAGGCTTAATGGCAGGAGCATAGTCTAAGATGGCATAAATTTGTCCCCTCTTCCGTCTCTTATCGATTAAACTTGCTCCTGAAACGTAAATTCAAACCAATATCGATAAACTGTTGTCTGTCATTCATCGTAGAACCACAACATACAATGGCCTCGGTAACATTCTTTCTGATGATACTCTGCGTTAGTACTGCTCCGAGGAAACAACATAATAAAGTTATCGTCACATAATTAACATTCCCAGTTAATCCCATAAAGCTTAATACTTTCATATACAAGTTCTCATCAGCTATATTATACCTTATGAAGCTTGATGGTAACTCCCTCACCTATTCGTGCTTAAATTCCGGCTTACAGCTCTACACTAGGGAGAAAGGGTGCAAGTTTCTCTCATCCAACTCAGACCCAGATGTCACGCGACCACCATGTTCATAACCCGGGCAAATGTATCGTATCACGTAGCTTGAAGTACAATGGTAGTATTGCGGCAAGGCTGTTTCCAAAGTTCATCAACTGACCTATTATTTGCTAGGAATGTATCAGACTGGTTTTCTCATTGGACAATTCACAGCTTACTCTCAGTTCCTGGTTCAATTAGCCGCTACCAGCCTACATGCCAAGAGCTGAGCCACTCCTCTCATTTGAACCACCGAGGATGAGTCAACCTATGAGGACAACATATAATGTCACATCATCCCCAAATATACATTTGATACACATTTGGTAGAATACCTTTAAGTGAGGGTAGTGAAATGCAGTGAGAAATACATGAAATAACGACACTCATATACCCATTCTACTCTCACCACTCACCACAACTCAGACTCTCAACATGCCTCAAACAGTCCCTCAATACAGCCCAGCACTGGGCATCCGCCTTGAAGGAAACCAAGCTTCCTACGCCCCAGGCGACACAATCATCGGCCATGTCTACCGCAAAAACCACGCAGTCAGCCCAAGCGCCTCCATACAGATAAAACTTGGTGGAAGGACCAAGACCAAACTTATAGTCTCCAGTGGCGGGAATAAAAGAACCACCTATAGAGGCCGCTTCAACCTTATCCCAGAGAAAATTCACTGGAAACAGATCTTCGAGGGACCACTTCATATTGAACAGGGCGGTGATGAGCAGGTCTGGCCTTTTGCCATTACGCTGCCAAAGTATGTCGATCCGAGGTACTTGCAGAATGGGGAGCAGCACGAGAGCTATTTGCCCCTGGACGCAACAGATTGTGTTTTGCCTTCGACTTACTCGTATCCTACTGCCGGGACTACCGAGGCCTTTGTTGAGTACTACTTGACTGCTACGCTGAGAATGCGAGGGAATGGTGCTTCGAATGGCGCGTCAGCTGTGCTTCCAATTACAGTAAAAAACTTGGAAAATGGTCCTCCCATCGCAGACTTTGCAGTCAAACGAGCAAAGAGTTCCCAGACCATCTACACTTATCGTCTCGTCCCAACCATGAAAGAGGTCAAGCTTTCCTTTTCCCAAAAGTTCAAACAGGTTCTTCAAACAACAAGCGTACCGACATTCGCCTTCAACATGTTCGTTGGCCTCCCGACCATCATCCAACTGGACAATCCCAATCCTATTCCATTCAAGTTGCACATCGTTCCAGACTTGAAGGCGAGTAGCGAAGCCCTCAGAGATGTAAAGCATCAGGTCAGATTAACATACGTTTCCATTCGGATCTTCACTCTCACAGAAGTCATCTGCGAGGGATCATTCAGTCCTCACACAAAGGACAAAACCAACGAGTATGACCTTTGTGTCATGAGTGCTCTTTCCCAAGGTATCAAGGACGGAATATACATCCCTTGCACAGACGGCGAGTCTGCTGTCGACATCGGAGAAATGATCAATTTGCGACTTGGCCACTTTCAGCGCGGTTTCCCCCAATTACCGGGTGACCGACGCCTTTCTTTTGATCCAACCTTTACTACATACAACATTCGTAAATCGCATAGGTTGAAGTGGGAAGTCAAGGGGATAGTAGCAGAAGAGGGGTTTAAGGAGTACGGGGCAGTTCCTATCACGTTGCTGGCTCCAAGTGATGAGCACGGCATAGGGGGACTTGACCAAAACCCTTCTAACCCTGTTCCAATGGTTGAAAGCGCAGGAGAAAGCGTAGCTGGCCCGTCCCAGATTCAACGGAACGAGTCATGGATTCAGCCTCCAGCTGAGGATGAAGCACCACCTAGCTTTAACCAAGCCGTCAAGGAGGATACACCACGTCCAGCAGAGAAGGCCGCTGCTTGATGAGAGGAATACCCAAGGGTGTTGAGAACAGAACGGAAGGGTAGACGACTCCTTGTATAATGCTTAGATAACTTAGCGTGACTTCATAAATCAGTTGAGCTAATACGAGAAAGTGAACAAGTCAATCTAGATAGTTCCAACACCGTAAACAACCCAAAGTGCATAACTTACTCATTTCCGTCCCTATTGAAAAGCCCCAAAACCTCTTCATTGTCATGAGCCGCTGCAAGATCCAGACTGGTTCTCCCATTGACATCCTCCACCATTGGATCAGCTCCTCTGTTCATAACCGCTTTAAACAACCCGACTGGTTCGCCTGCTATCTCATGAAGGATGTTTCTCTTCTGCTCGTCTATGGCCCGCCAGTCAACTCCGCTAACGTTGGTAGTTTTGTGAGCGGTATAGCCGTTCGCCGGTACTTTCAAGATGGCAGGCCAAATGCTTGCGATACTCGGCGCTCTCGCGGTCATACTCTGTTGGGCGTAACCACTCTCGAATACTAGCGATAGTAGCTTCGGATTGGGGTAGGACATGATCGGGATTATAGTTACTGGTATCGTCTTTTCCAATGACGACAATATCACTGCCCTCAGGCGATGGGACCTAAGGAGGCTGTTCGTCAGACATGCTGATCAGCTGATATCAAGATTCGTTCAATTGGAGCATTGCAATTGACACTTTTATGATGAATAAGGGAGGTAATGAATGCGATGGCTCTAAGATGATTGAGAGGGGAAACATCGACTAACCCAGGCAGTTAAGCTGCGGTCAGCATGGAACATCTTGTCATATTCGGCAAGCAGTACCAGTGGTCGTACAAGATGGAAGTTGAAGCAGATAAATAGGTACTTAGTACTATACCTTACCTATTGAACTCATGGATGGATACACGTTGATCGCAATCGGCACAGAATAGAGAAACAAGCAATGAGATGTTGAAATGGTCTTTTTCTATAGATACAAGAAGGAAAACACCCAAGATTTGTTATACAATGCCCAAAGAAATCCCATCTCGAAGAGGACCCCAATTCTATACCTAACGCCAAGCTAAAAGTCACAGCCACACGCCACGATCCTACTGTTACAGTATCCTTGACACTAACCAACGTCAAGTCCAGCCAATATCGAAAGAACTCCATCATCATCTCCTTCCATTAAATTCTTTCTCGAACTTGAGGATAGTCGTGTCGATGGTTGTGATAATGCCGCGGCCAGTCCTTTGACCAGTAACGTAGAAGTTCTCGGTTCGGTCTCTAGTCGTGGCCCACTGATCCATCATGGCGCCGCTAGAAGTACCCTGGCCACCCGTGTAAGTTGAGCCACCAGAGCTGTTGCTGTTGGTGTAGCTGCCATAGTTGCTGTAAGATCTGATGGGCCATGGTTAATGGTTGGTCCTCAATGAGTTGGTCATGATATGGATACTTACTGGTTGGCAGTAGATGAAGACATGTTGGTAGATTTGTTGGACTCTTCTTAGAGTCAGTTGGTTGCTTGATTGGTTGTGATTGGTTGGAAGTATTGGTAGTTGGTTTGTTCTAAGTTGGTGTTGATAGTAGTGGTATAGACCAAAGACTTCACTTGATGGTAAATAAACTGATGACGATATTGAATATTTAGATCCAAGCAGGAGGGATATAGGTGTATTTAACTTGGCTCAAACATAATCCCAGTCTTCGTAAAGTCGTAGTCAAAACATTGAGCAGGCCACCTCGAAATGGAAAAATCCATACCACCATAACCAAAAACCCTTCAAAACACCATTGAGCAAAAACCGGCCCCCAAAATCACGCGCAATTTGGAATAGCTTAGATAACAAGCCTCCCCAGTTTCGAAACGTGCCATGATGGGGACCAGCGCGATCGCGGAAGAGAAACAGGTAGGTAGTGGTGTCCAACGACCGCCGCCGTAAAGGCTTCAATTGGATTGGACGGTGGCGAGACAAACAAACCGGAAACTGCGCCGCAAAAGATGATTGACTGATTCAGTGAGTTTATCCGCTCGCTCAAGTCGAAAAAATTGTTTCGGCGGAGAGATAGTGATTGGCTTCACCCGCAATTGCGCAGAATCACAGTGACAGAACTACGATTTCGGGGGCTGTCAGCCACAAGAGGGAGCCTGTGAATGGGAAGGCTACCAGGGTAGTGGCTCAGCTCAGCCCCCAATACAAGCATTAAGATATCATGAGTCTACAATCTGGTCGATTATACGTTGAATCCTGCGCCTTTTTAGACATTCAGTCATTGAATTCAAGTGTTTCGCAATACACTGACTCGAGATATGCGCCTTTGGTCGTTGTCGCTGACTTTGTTACTGTTGCTGTATCGAATTTGCACCTATTCTAGAACTTGGTGATGACCATCATGACAACTGAACTGGCCAATAACTCAACTTCTCTATTTCCTATTGGAGGCCTTCTCAGACAGACTCTGTGGCTAGTTTCAGGGCAAGATCTTTCAAACATTTAGGCTATCTCAACTAACACTACCTAGGTACCTTAGGTACCCTATGGATGTTGACTCGGCTATGCCCCACACTCATGATGACAGCTGCAACCTCACAACGGTCGCCATGAAGCAGACCAGATCCAGGGCACCAAAGTTCCCACTGTGATCCTTTGCAACAGTAAGCTTTTCCTTAGTCGAAACGCTTACCTGAAAGCTGCATCTTGGCCAAGATTCATCTCCGTTTTAATACAGCCCATACTCTTGGCGTGCCGAGGTCTTGGGAACAGGAAACCATGTAACCCAAAACCTTGGCCTAAGCTCATAAGAGATTTCCAGATCTCTTCAACGCCATTAGCGATGATACATAGCAGAGCCCAATATTGGGACTTTGGACATTAGCTGGCATGATAACGATGAAATTTCGGTGATGTTGCGGAATGTGAAGATGGACAGTATCTGACAACTCCGCCCCCATCCGGAGGCAACCAACAGTTTGAAACGCGATTTTGAGAGCTGGTGCAATTTCTGATTCGAGCAGCTCTAATTGCGAAATTTCGAATTCAAATTACCGCTGGGATAAAATTAAAAAA